CTCGTCCTGGGTATTGGACATTAAACTGCTTCCGGCAGAGTGTGCGTGGGGTTTGATCGATCGGCTAGCCCCTAAAAGTGCGCACAATAAGCTGTTGGTACTTCCTCTGTGACTGGCGAGTGGTCGGCGCCATAAAACCGACTGGGCCCTCGGGTCGGGGATTGTTTGGCCTCTTAAACTTTCTGTAAATAGTTCAAGATAAATCAAGAAGATAATTCTGTTGGTGTGTATAATCAAAATATATAATAAAATTGAATCCATATGTGTACCTCCAGTTAAAAAACAATCTGCCTTGAGATTTGCATCAACATCCAGTAAGTGCAGTCACAATGCAGTGCATACATTTTGGGGGAGTTAAATGGTTGTATCCAGTACAGTAAGAGACCGTGTGCGGCTGATGCTGTTTTGGATTGCTCGTCAACTGAGTCTTCCTCTCGATGGTGCAGTTTAGATTATTTATTGAAGAGGATGGATCAGGTACATGGAGATGATGATGGTTTGACACAGTGTGTGTGTAAATGTATAAGTATGTGTGTGCGGGTGCGTGTGTGGTTATCTGAAACAGAAAAACAATAAAATGTATATTAATAAACATGTAGGCAGGCTACAGTATGGTTACAAACAGATGTATAAACATGACCTGCAGTACCACCTACAATCCACTAGTGAGAGCTCTAAAACTACATGCGTAATGCTGTGTTCACACCGGGCGCCTCCGACGCCTCCAAAGCGTCAGGTTTACATTGAAAATACATTGAGGGACGCGGGCCAACAACACCTTCTTTGCAATGTCTGAGCAAAAATTGGAATATCGATATTGAAAAATAAAATAGATATATTCATTGTTTTGGCAATATTACCCACTATTTTCAATGCAAATTGTAATTCAAGCAAAAATATATACAGTCAGACAACAAAACAATGGTTTGTAACTGTGTGATCACATGTCTTCGATCACACTGGCCTGTCCTCACCATATCTTTATCAGTCCTCATCAGCACACGTGAATTTACTCAGATAAGATCAGTGCTGCTGCTACAGTTTTTCTTACTTTAGGGTTAGGGTTAACAATATGGATGCTTATTTGTATTGCTTTTCATGGTCTTCCAAAAGCACTTCACACAGTGTAGGCCGGGATTTGTACTATCATAAAAGCTATAGCTTTATATAAAATAAAATAGAATGTACAGTTTGTTATTTGTCGAGTGTTTGACCCATTGTATTTTCTTTTGGGCAGAAATGTATTCCATTGTGGAATTTCTGGAGGCGAAGGAGGTGGAGTTGGTGCCATCAGTATGGGTCACCAATGGTCATTGTGCGTGGCCCTCGGGTTTGAGGGGCACGGCACTAAGCCTTGCAGTTCGTACTGCGACCCCTGTGGAGCCAACGTGGGAGCAGTACCGCGTGCGAGTACTATATACAACTGGTACATTCATCATCCTTTTTTCACTGTTCATGGTCAATTATAGTCACTGTCAGATAGATAAACAAATCAGGCACTGTGACACAAGTTTATACCCCTTGTAAGGAACGTTTTGTTTATTCTGAAGTCTGTCGGGGCAACTTCCGGTTGCTTCCAGATTGTACTTAATGTCACACGGTGTGTGGGCTTGGGACAGTACGGTCTTAACTGTTTAAATGGTTAGCGCCTAGCTGAAAGGGGATAAAGGTGTGTATTTTAATGTGATTTTTATGATTCTTTGTCTGCTTAACTGATTCAATGTATTAATGGTTTTTAGCTCTTACGGTGAATTTGTGCAATTACATTAAAAACGGAAAATGGGCACATGCATCAGTACGAGCCTTCATTCATTCAGCTAAAGTCGCTACAGTAAGAGCTTTCCCTACGGATTGATGCATGGATTGATGCATCGCTGCCGGGATGACTACGGAGCTGGCTTCTACTCTTATGGTGACTGCCTGGTGACGGTGTGGAACTGCTACGTGAGCCGTGAATTGACAGACCCCTCAGGTGCTCAAGGCGAACCCCCGGTAAAGCAAAAGACGGGACGGGACTGTTTGAAGTTTGTCCACGGACATTGTGAGTACACAAACTTATAACCTTCTGTGGATCTAAACCCGTGAATTGACGTGGACAAATATTTAGAGACTTAACTTTACGCGTCCTCACTGGAATATACGTCATCATATGAACTTCTTTTGAGTGTTTCCAGAATTAAAAGACTAATTGCAATTTTGCTCATTTGTTGGGATTATGAGAAAACTCACCAAGACTTTGCATTTTTGCACAATTACTGCCTATTTGCACAACTCGAACTTGAAGGAATGTGTATTTATTTTGGATTCATTGTAATTATGTATATCGGGGTAGACGTGTTCCTGTGATAAATTGCATGAATTTTGTGTGTTTCGACATATTTTGTGTTATAAATGTTAAGCTGTTTTTACAAATTACTAAGAAATGAAATGATTTAGTTTCAAACGCAAATAATACGTTTTAGATTTTAAAAAAAATGGATCAGGGAGTGCAAGCAACTGAAGAATCAATTTTAGAAAAAATGGCAACAGAAGCACAACCATTGGCAGAGGAAACGACAGAATGCCCCCAACGTAAAAGGCAACAAACTGATATAATGCAAGAATGTCAAATGGAAGAGGCAAAAAGGAGTGAAAAATGGCTGCTTTCTCTTTATGAAAAATGGAAGACAAATGTTAGAGAATTTAGAAATAAACTGAAAAATTATATGCCAGAAGAAGAAGTTTGGGCTATGATTGAAACTTTAAAGAAAAGCTACAAAGATATAACAAACACTTTTGAAGAAATCCGAGAGATATCAACACCAACAGTGGACATAAGAAGAAGAGTTGACACATGCAATGCTGTCACAACTGAAATGCTGTCCATCGCCTATGACAGAGCAGTTGACGACAAGGAGGAATTCGATGAACAAGGAGCAAGAGAGAGAATGCATGACTTACTGTCTAATACATTTGCACGTTCAGTTTACGGATCAGAAGCTTCTTTTTCTGATAAACAATCTATTAGTGTTAAGAGAGCTGAAGCTGCTGCGGACTTGGCTGCAAAAAGAGCAAACTATGAATTGTTGCTTGAAGAGGAAAAGATAAGAATATCACTTGTTGAACTTGAGGAAAGGCAAAAGAGAGAACTGGAAAAGAAAAAACAGGAACTACAAAGATTGAAGGCAACAAGGGAAATTTCTGTGGCAGAAGCCAGATTAAGGGTTTTTAATGATAACGTTACCCAAGAGTGCTGTTCTGACAATAAAACGATGCCCCCTGAAGTCAACACTGCTACCAATGGTGAGCAACTCATGGGTTCTTCTTACTCAGCCTCTCAGCCAAAGGTTTCATCAAAATCTACATCCTTGCGGCCACATAATGATTTTACAAAAATGGATGTTGAAAATGCTCCAACTTCTTTCCCCTCTGTAGAAACTGCAACCTCTTTGCCTGTGTGTATGGATAATCATGAAGGCAACAAATATGTTACGCCTACTCCTATAGTCTGTAATGTGCTTCCCACTGCTGTGGATGTTCATTCTGACCTTTCAGCGCTTGCTCGAGTTTTTCAGGATAATCTAACATTAAATAGACTTCCAGTACCTGAACCATCAATATTCCTGGGTGATCCAATTGACTTTATTGAATGGAAGGCAGGATTCACAACCCTCATTGACAAAAGGACTATAAAACCTGAAGAAAAATTGTATTATCTTAAAAAATATGTTGGAGGTTCAGTCAGAAAGATGCTAGAAGGGACATTTTTTAGAAGTGACAGTAATGCTTATCAGGATGCGTGGAATAGATTGAATGAGCGTTTTGGACAACCATTCACTATTCAAAGGGCCTTTAGGCAAAGGTTAAACGATTGGCCAAAAATTGCAGGGAAGGATGCTCAGGGCCTCAGAAATTATTCAGATTTCCTTAACACCTGCTTAGAAGCAATGCCTCATGTAAAGAGTTTGGAGATATTGAATGATTGCGAAGAGAATCAAAAGATGATCTCTAAACTCCCAGACTGGGCTATTGCCAGCTGGAACCGACAAGTCACTCAGAATCTTATGGAAGGTAATGGTTTTCCCAGTTTCAAGGACTTTGTCACATTTATCACATTAGAAGCACATATAGCCTGCAACCCGGTTACATCTTTGTATGCCCTTCGTTCAGCTACTACAGAAATTAGAAAGGCAAGTACGACTCTAGCTACTCTGGCTTCACCGGAAAATAGGCTTTCAAATATTGCAAGTCAGAGACGTCTCTGTCCTTATTGTAAAATTGAAAATCATCAAATTCAAGACTGTTCAACATTTACAGATTTACCCATTTCTGATCGACGCTCGTTTGTAAAGGAGAAAAGGTTGTGTTATGGATGTTTAGAGCCTGGACATGGAGTGACAAATTGTGGGAATCGATTGATTTGTGACATTTGTAATCGCAGGCATCCCACGAGGCTTCATATTGTAAACTTTGACAATAGTGATTCAAGCTAAACTTTCTTTGGACTGCGTTAAACTGTGATTGATTATGATGTTGTAAGGTAATCCCTCGTTGAAATAACTTGTGATTGGCGGGGAGTGTAAGGAACGTTTTGTTTATTCTGAAGTCTGTCGGGGCAACTTCCGGTTGCTTCCAGATTGTACTTAATGTCACACGGTGTGTGGGCTTGGGACAGTACGGTCTTAACTGTTTAAATGGTTAGCGCCTAGCTGAAAGGGGATAAAGGTGTGTATTTTAATGTGATTTTTATGATTCTTTGTCTGCTTAACTGATTCAATGTATTAATGGTTTTTAGCTCTTACGGTGAATTTGTGCAATTACATTAAAAACGGAAAATGGGCACATGCATCAGTACGAGCCTTCATTCATTCAGCTAAAGTCGCTACACCCCTTGGTGGTGAGTTTATAGCCACGTGTATAGGAGCTGTTTGTTTCCTCAGGGCCTGGACAACATGCTATCATCAATAGAAAAAATAATGAATAGGTTTATCAAGATATTTTGCAGAAAGACCTGAAACATTCACAACAGCATGGAATATGTTAGTGAATCCTTGTATTAAATAGCTGCTGATCCTTCTTTTTCAGCAATAAGTGCTTTCCTGTAGTTGCAGATTAGACGCTCACAACGATTAGGATGAATCTCCTCTTTACAAAACTGCTGCAGTTCAGAGAGATTCAAGCAGTGTACTTACTTATTCCTCCCTGTCCTGTGAATGTTTACATGTAAATGTTTGGGTGGTATTAGTTTTGTTGGAATAATACTTCAAAAAGTAATTCCTCTTTGACTGTGTAAGCCAAATAAGTTAATGCAGTAGTATGTAGTGGGTGGAAAATATTTAGCTTTAGACATTTCCTCAGAGGACAGATTTGCTAGAGGTCAGGATGATATGAAGATAGGATCAAATACACTACACCCTTTACAGACCATCACTGACCAAAGACCATCTTTTTAATTTTAAATGCCCATTGTTACGTATCACCGAAGATTACATTTATATTGTAGACTTATTAGCACTCCTTCTCATGTTAGGAGTTTGCTTTCCTACTTTCTCCAAGTGAGTTTTACATCTCTAGCCTGTTGACTGCAAAACTGCTTATATTTTTTATTTATTTTTTGTAAAAAGAGAACTATGAAGAGGGCCGGAGGAAATTGAGGGAAGCCGAAATAACATCCGACCTCCAGTCAGATGTGGAGACTGAAAAGAACAAAAAACGTCGTCGCAAAGCAATGTAAATATCAAATTAAACTCTTCACTTTCTTGAATTTGAATTATGATGGAGGAGGGGATCAATGTGACTCTGGGACAGAAACAATTTAGAAATAAACTTCAGAAAATTTACAAATAATGAATCTGTGAAATCTATCTATTTGCTCAAGTCCAAAAACAGTTCATATTGATTATTGTACTATTTGGACACATTTTGTGCTCTTGTGTCATGTGTCCAGATGGAGACACAAGACATTGAACTGTGTACCAGTTTTTTGTTCCGTGTGAACATGTTAGTCACCTAAAATTAGAATTTTTGAAACCTCAGCATTTTGACTACCAGGGAATTCGTACCCTCCATCTCAATTACACACTGAATGTTGGCCAAATTAACACAACCTATTGCATAAACATACTGATTTTTTTCTCAGGAAAAACCATCATTTTATATCATCTTCAGAGGATGAAGCGCCGATGTCCTCCATCCCTGCGGCCCAAGCCGTTCATTTTAATGCATGCCCCCCTCCTCCCTTTGTTAATTTTGACCCACCCGCCCCCAGTCAATCACCACCCCTCCCCCCGAACATACACGGAGCTCACGGCAGGTGTGTACAGCTTCTCTCACTATCATGTTAAGTTCTCAGGTATATTAAATAAATAAATGCAAACTCTGTAAAAAACAATTTAGCACTGCCAGGATACCAGCATTACCACTGGTCTCCACAAGCTCCACAACCAGAACCAGGTAAGATTCACCTAACCCTATAGATCAACCACCTATTTGATTCCCACCTGAACGGGTCCTTTCTGTCGAGTTTGCATGTCTGCATAGGTTTCCTCCGGGTACCCCACCACTAAAAACATGTACAAAAGGTGAATCCTCCAGCCAGGTGTTTCTGACCATTAGCCTGGCTTGACACAAGTCCCCAAATGCGTTTGAAAGAGAGAAACAAACTCCACACAGAAAGGCCCACAAGGCCCGGGAATACTTATATATATATATATATATATATATATATATATATATATATATATATATATATATATATATATATATATATATATATATATAATTATGTAATAAAACTCTGTATTTGCAGAAAGCTCTCATGGAAGCCACTCTGGTACGCTTTGTTACCACACTGAACAGACTACTACTAATCAGTTTTGTTTATTTGATTTTTATATTAATGAACTTTGTTCCAAACTTACTTTTACAGTAATTTTAAAGGAGGTCCTAACTAAATTAGAAATGGTGCTGCAGCAAAACGACACCATTCTCAGAATACTCCAGCACCAGGCTACTCCTCCAGGCTTGGAGGAAGCCATTGACCTGCCACTTGCAGACCTCCCGCAGCTGTTGGCAATGGAGGACAAGCTTGGCTCACCAGAGTTCCGCTGTTCACTGGTGAGCTTTTTATTTATTTGGTAATATTAAGCGCAAAATGAAGCACAAAAATAGGAGTGGCCGACCATGGGACAGTCATACTATTTCATCCCTCTTTGTCTAAAACATACATAATTGACTCTGGTCTCATTGGAAGTTTGCTTGTCTATCTGCATTTATTTGATAGATTTTGGATGTTTTGAAATACTCACTGCATGAAAGCATATTTTCGGTTAAATTTATGGTAGCCTTCAAATTCACCTGAATTTAGCAATTTACTATTTTACTTTTTTTGCAGACTAACTACCTAGGGACAATCGGGGGCACCAACGTCCAGGACACGACTTCCCGCATATTAAAAAAAATTCTGAGCCATTCACTGGCCCAGAAAATGAATTGGAGGGGGGTCAACGGCAAGACTGCCCTGGCCACCCTGCATTTGCGCAAGGTTGTCGTCGGTAAGTTTAATTGTCACTTGTGGTGATAGTTTTTTTTACTTTCCTACTGAGAGTTTTTGATTTGTGATAGTTTTTTGTTTTGTTTTTAAATCGGATTTTAAATAGTAAAACAGTAATTCATCCTAAATGTTTTTTTGTTTGTTTGTTTGTTTTTTCCTTTCAAGGTGCTGTGCGTAAAAACCCGATTATAGGGTTTACAACCGAGGCAGAGGTGGAGGACAAGATGAAAAGATGGCTCCAACTGAGTGCAGACAGGGAGGGGGGTAGAAAGAGAAGGCTGCTTGCTAAGGAGGGATTAGGGCTGTAAAAAATGTTTGAGTTTGTGAATAAGTTTTTTGTTACAATATTAATGTAAATAATGTAAATAGTTCTATCTATCTAAAATATGTTTTAGACCCCTACGTTAGTATTTTTTCATTGGGCAAATGAATAAATTTCATTATTTTCGCGCAAACTCATTATTTATTTATTTATTTGTGTAATTCTCTCTATATAGCTCTAATAGCTCCTTTGTAAATGCTTCTAAACTAATACTTGTTTTCCTCTTCATTTTTTAAATATCCCTTTTTATACAATACAAAAAGTGGAAGGTGATCACTAATATCATTTATCATTAATCCGTCTGTATCTCTTTCTATTTAATTTGAGAAAATGTTATCAATCAAGGTGGCACTATAATATATATAATAATCTGCAGATTATTGAAGTCTATTCTCTATTTGTTTGGAATCGGCAAGAACAATATTTATAGATATAGTGGAAATGTACTTTTTAACTGCACAAAGGTGTGAATATGGGGTTGGTGACACTGGGGTTTCAACATACTCTGGATATTCAAAGTGGAATCAAAAGTAAAAACTGCAAAAATATGATCTGATATTACCTGTCTCTTATCATGTGGCGCTTCATTTAATATTTTTTTAGTTTCACTGCATTGTTGATTTTTTTAAAATATGTCATTTTCAGGGGTGGGAAGTGCAGGGACAGGTTATTTCCCATAATTTGATAATGGCCCTTAAACTAAGCAGACATTCATCAGCCATCAGTTCAATAACTCCATTATATTTGTAAAACAAGGAGAAAGAAAGTTTTCCCCCATCATAGTCAGGTCTTGATCCCTCGCGGAGTTCTCATTGGAATCTGCTGCTGTGGTCTGCAGCGAGTGAGAGGCGGGCTTTAGAGTAGAATATCCAATCAGAGACAACCTAACACGTCAAAACGCGGCGCTATTGGCTGTCACGGTCTGCCGGGGAGACGAGTGCGAGAGGGGACAAAATGACACAGACGCGGAGGATCCGCCGATCCGCGTCTGAAGAGGAAAATTAAGTTTGTGCAGCAGCTGAGTTGAATGCGGGACACCGCTCCAATTTGCGTGATGCAGGATTTGAGTTGGAAATGCTGTGCAGTCCCGCATAATGCGGGACATCTGGTCACGCTATGTACATGTTCCTTCACCTTAATTATTGCAACATTGTTCAATTGTTGGGATTTAAATAAATGTTTTTGAAACAGTGTTTTCAGCGCCTTTTTTAAAGTCTAACATGCGTGTTTAGGTTATTTACCCGACAGCCCAGCCGATTCTCAGCCGACATATAAATAAAGCCATTATGCTGTAGTTCAGCCGATACTGGGCCGTCATCTTTTAATGAGAGTCACGTTACTGTAGTTCAGCCGATACTGGGCCGTCATCTTTAATGAGAGTCACGTTACTGTAGTTCAGCCGATACTGGGCCGTCATCTTTAATGAGAGTCACGTTACTGTAGTTCAGCCGATACTGGGCCGTCATCTTTAATGAGAGTCACGTTACTGTAGTTCAGCCGATACTGGGCCGTCATCTTTAATGAGAGTCACGTTACTGTAGTTCAGCCGATACTGGGCCGGTATATTCAGGGGGAGTCGCAAATATTGATTCAACCGATGACGGGCCGCCGGCCCAGCCAACTGTGGGCCGATTCGTGGGTGAGGTAATGGCCCGATGGTGGGCCAGAGAAACTTTGCTACCTGGGAAAGGATCTCTTCATCTTTACAAAACTGTCAATTCTCCAACACAGATCAGAGAATCAATCAGTTCATACACAGGAAATGCAATGATGAAAAAAAACACAGCCATTGGTTCTCAAGGGGCAGATGACCAATGTCCATAAATGTCGTTGAAAGTCCGGTGTCCTGGATCGTCGGTCCTTAGCCCCTCCCTCGGCCCCCGCCTGTAGATTAGCCCCGCCCCCTGCTCCTGGATCATCCCGCGCTCTGTGCTCTGCTACGCGGCCTGTGCTGGAGCTTCACCCTGCTGTCAGAACCGTCACCCCCGAGGAGCCGAGCAGGACCAGAGACCCCCCTCCCCACATCCAGGCACTAGCACGGGTAGCAAGCACAGCCATGTCCGGGGAAGATGAGCCCATGAGCGCAGAGGAGCAGCAGGTAAACGGCATCGGGTTTTGGGGCTGTGTGATTGTTGAGCCACCTCCGGGAGCTAGCGGCTATGCTATTATGCTAACATGCTATTATGCTAACATGCTAACACCACAGACGCCAAGTAGCTTTAGCTCCGCGGCCATTGTTCGTGACCAATGTAGAGGACACGCTGTACACCTGGATTATTTACCACATGTTAAGTTATTTACCAGTCTATAATGTTTCTATTGTGTTAAAGAAATGCTAAAACTACACAGGTCATGCTAGCTACAGCTACTATGGTTAGCTGGTGCTAGCCTGTGTTTCTCTGCGTGTTGTGATGACCCTTATCGGACAGCTGCTGTGTTTTTCTCAGTTTTGAGTTGATTTTGAGTTTTTTTGTTTGTGCTATTTCATCAACAGGAAGCTCACGATAAAGTGGTGAGCCCAGAGAAGGCAGAGGAGGCCAAGCTGAAAGCCAGGTATCCTAACCTTGGAGCCAAGCCTGGGGGCTCGGATCTTCTCCGGAAACGACTCCAAAAGGGGGTGAGTCACAAAAAGCCAATATAGGCCCAGTCCCAACACCCACACTGCACCCTACACACCTCTACGAAGTGTGCATTTGTTCGAAGTGCACACCAGGGTTGGAGTGCGCAGGTTGCAAGCGTGCACAAAAGGCGGAATTGGGACAGTGCACTGAGTGCAGGTGACGTCATCTACTCGTCAGAGATGGTCATTTTCAGACCTAAACTTTATAAACATTAAAGGTAATTTTGTCTGACCCTTTGGGAAACAAAATGAATTTCTTCACACACGTTAAAATACATGTATATTAGTTGTTTTTAATTAGAGATATCTGTATAATTTTAAGTTAAATGTGGGTAACTAACTATCTGGTCAGTTTTTATACATTCTAAGATTATTGTACTAAGTGTAAAGTTTAAATTGAATGTTATATAAACGCTTGCTTTAAAAAGTTATTAAATTGTTAAAACACAATGTCCGTAATTCTTCATCAGACGTTTATGCTTCTTTCCAAGTAACAGCAAAACTTATTTACACACATACTGCATATATATTTCAAAATGTATATTTAAATGCATTTTCCCGACGTTTTGATTTGTACCGCAAAGAATTATGGGCAATATCCTTTGCCAGAGTGCGCATAGATGCAGGCTACGGCGAAGTGTGGATCAGGGGCGCAAAGGGGGCGGGGCCAAAGACCTCCCTGGAGGATTGGGACACCCTACGCACTCGCACCCTTTATCGGGAACGCGCAAATGAGGAACGCAAGGGTGGAAGTGCGAGTATTGGGACGGGGCCATAGTCCTTGGTCACTGAACACAAGAACACACTGATTGACTAATCGCTAGAAAAATCAATACACAATCAAAATTTTATTTTGTTTGCCTAATTCTTCATACACATTTACCTTATATTTTTGGGTATTTTCAAAATAATGTGATTTAAAGGATTCTTTAACTCGAAGAAGACGCTATGGTTTTGAAACAATATGGTCAAAATATCTTTGATCCCATTGTGCCGTTGGATCTTTATGACTTTTGCTCTGTTCTAGGCTTGAATTTTACTTTTTATGATCTAATTGTAATGTATATTGAAGATTTGACAGCCTATAAGCGCCACAAGTTATAACAATTTGATGTCCTAAAGCACCTGTCTGATCCATGTGTTTGAATAACCATTTGTCTGTCTTCCTGTAGCCAAAGTATTTCGACTCTGGTGACTACAACATGGCCAAGGCGAAGATGAAGAACAAGCAGTTGCCATTGGCCCCAGTGGAGAAGTCTGAGATCACTGGAGGGCACATCCCCACGCCTCAGGACCTGCCCCAGAGAAAGACTTCTATTGTCGCGAGCAAACTGGCTGGGTGAACTTTTAAGTGTGCACTGTCGTCATTCCAGCGCGTGTTTGAATCTACAGCCGTTTACATGTTTCGTTCATTTCACTTTTGTACGTAATCTCTCAAAGAACAAGCCCTGAACCAAGCCAAATTACTTGAGGAAAAGAAGCAAATAGTTCCTAAACAATACTGACACAACTAAAGTATGTTGACCGCTGAATATACTTGAAACGCATGCATGGAAAAGAAAAAAAACACTTCCAGATATGTGCCTCCACCGGGTTAAAGGCCCGCTACTTAAAACGCAGGCTAAGAATGTTTGTCGGCCGCATGAGGACATTCAGAAGGCTTTCATTTTAGAGCAGGGGTGTTCAACTCGGTTCTCCAAAATGGGAATAATTGGCTGTGGGTTTTCATTCCAACCAAGCAGGAGCACAACAAGCTCCATCCATTTCTTCAAGCTTGCCAATCTCTACCTTTAGGACTAGTCTCAAAACAGTTGAGACGCTAGAAATGCAATCATAACAAACACATCGGAGACAGCGAAACGGGACGACCATTGTCTGTAAATGTCCCAGAACATCTCTCCTTAGACAAAACTCAAAAACCCAGTTGGGGATAAACTTGTGGTTGGCCCATATTGAGAGAAGGGGAAGTGGGTGTGTTGTGCTCCTGTTTGGTTTTTGAGGACTTGAGTTTTAACACCCCTGCTTTTTTAGATTATTTTCAAAAGTTGAGTCAAAAACCCGTTTGTAGCCAGTTCTATTTCAGCACCGACCTCCGCCGTGACTTCTGAATGGCCTTACATTCACACTTGTTCCTCTTTGGGCAATATTTGCTCCTTGTTTCTGTTGCGAATCTCACTGTTTGACTGAAGTCCTCAGATTTTATGGAAGAAGCTCGATTATGGAGTGTGCATGTGTGGTTTCACTGTGGCATTTGTTTTGTAAATAAATAAAATGGTTTTGCATAAGAAAACGTATAGGCTGTGTTTTTATCTCTTTGATTCTGCAGTGAGAAGTTAAAGTCCAGTCCTGCCGGAGAATCATCTGCTAAAGGGCTGTTTTTTCAATGCACAAATGTGGCGCAGCTGCTGTTGTGTGAAAGTAGATATTTAAGAATTGTTCTGGTTTGAATCTTGACGTTGACTTCCACAACATTCCCACACCATTCATTCACAATAAACATTATCCCTTGTGCTACCCTTTCTTTTAAGTTTATTTGTCCTTTATCACATTCTTTACATTTGTGCAAGAACAAAGACATTTTTTTAAAGGGTGAAATGCATAGTTTTTTTATGACGTGAAAGTGAGGGGGGGGGTTAGGCGGTTGAACAATACATAACTCATCTACATATAGTAACTCGCGAATAAGTAGCATAGATAGTGTTTTAGTGCTGTTGACATAATGTATATAGTATTCATTATTTTTCATTAATTTCTGGGTTGATCTGTCGGCAGCACAGCCTTGGTCTTCATACAGAGTGGGGTTAAGTGTCTTGCCCAGGGACACAACGACATCAGTGGGAGCAGATGCAGAAGGTCTTGTGGAGATCAAACCCTTTAATGGTTTCCTCAATCATTTGGTGGATCTCATTTTGAGGGACCACATCTACTCGAAGCTCCGAACGTAAATATATTTTACATCAAACTGCATCTCAACCATTTGGTAAAGGCCTGTATTTAATAATTTAAAAAAGTCCTTGGGTCAAAACTAGGGGTAAAAAAATCCTTTAAAAAATAACACTTATCTTGGAAAATCTTTTTTTTTTAAATACAACAGCTTTCTTCAAGGAGTGAACATTAAAGATTAAAACCAAATGCTCTGAGCCACTGTCACCCTATCAATAAGAGTTAAATATCCAGTATCCAACACCAAAATCCAAAGAATATACTGTAATATATTCTAAAAGTTACTAATTACAACTTTGGAGTTGGTTGTTGCAGCGAGAGACTGGCTCTGTGTGGTCTGGATAGTGTCCATGGTCCTGGTCCTGCTGGTGTCTCCTGGTGTCAGTCTGTGTCCACCCACTGCCAGACTCTCCTGGTGCCGCTGCAGCTGCTGGACTCTGCTGTGGAGTCGCTCGTTCTCTCGGCTCAGAGCGTCTCTGCGCCTCCTCAGCGCCTCCTGCTGCAGGAGAGCGGCGTTCTGACGGCGGTGGAAGAACCGGAGCTCTGGATTCTCCCACGACTGAAACACACGACACATCTGTGAGAGAGACCTCCTCCACCAACGACACGTCTGTGAGAGAGACCTCCTCCACCAACGACACGTCTGTGAGAGAGACCTCCTCCACCAACGACACGTCTGTGAGAGAGACCTCCTCCACCAACGACACGTCTGTGAGAGAGACCCCCTCCACCAACGACACGTCTGTGAGAGAGACCTCCTCCACCAACGACACGTCTGTGAGAGAGACCTCCTCCACCAACGACACGTCTGTGAGAGAGACCCCCTCCACCAACGACACGTCTGTGAGAGAGACCTCCTCCACCAACGACACGTCTGTGAGAGAGGCCTCCACCAACGACACGTCTGTGAGAGAGACCTCCTCCACCAACGACACGTCTGTGAGAGAGACCTCCTCCACCAATGACACGTCTGTGAGAGAGGCCTCCACCAACGACACGTCTGTGAGAGAGACCTCCACCAACGACACGTCTGTGAGAGAGACCTCCTCCACCAACGACACATCTGTGAGAGAGACCTCCTCCACCAACGACACGTCTGTGAGAGAGACCCCCTCCACCAACGACACGTCTGAGAGAGACCTCCTCCACCAACGACACGTCTGTGAGAGAGACCTCCTCCACCAACGACACGTCTGTGAGAGAGACCTCCTCCACCAACGACACGTCTGTGAGAGAGACCTCCTCCACCCACGACCCGTCTGTGAGAGAGACCTCCTCCACCAACGACACGTCTGTGAGAGAGACCTCCTCCACCAACGACACGTCTGTGAGAGAGACCTCCTCCACCAACGACACGTCTGTGAGAGAGACCTGCTCCACCAACGACACGTCTGTGAGAGAGACCTCCTCCACCAACGACACGTCTGTGAGAGAGACCTCCTCCACCAACGACACGTCTGTGAGAGAGACCTCCTCCACCAACGACACGTCTGTGAGAGAGACCCCCTCCACCAACGACACGTCTGAGAGAGACCCCCTCCACCAACGACACGTCTGAGAGAGACCTCCTCCACCAACGACACGTCTGTGAGAGAGACCTCCTCCACCAACGACACGTCTGTGAGAGAGACCTCCTCCACCACGACCCGTCTGTGAGAGAGACCTCCTCCACCAACGACACGTCTGTGAGAGAGACCTCCTCCACCAACGACACGTCTGTGAGAGAGACCTCCTCCACCAACGACACGTCTGTGAGAGAGACCTCCTCCACCAACGACACGTCTGTGAGAGAGACCTCCTCCACCAACGACACGTCTGTGATAGAGACCTCCTCCACCCAACGACACGTCTGTGATAGAGACCTCCTCCACCAACGACACGTCTGTGAGAGAGACCTCCTCCACCAACGACACGTCTGTGAGAGAGACCCCCCCTCCACCAACGACACGTCTGTGAGAGAGACCCCCTCCACCAACGACACGTCTGTGAGAGAGACCTCCTCCACCAACGACACGTCTGTGAGAGAGACCCCGCTCCACCAACGACACGTCTGTGAGAGAGACCTGCTCCACCAACGACACGTCTGTGAGAGAGACCTCCTCCACCAACGACACGTCTGTGAGAGAGACCTCCTCCACCAACAACACGTCTGTGAGAGAGACCTCCTCCACCAACGACACGTCTGTGAGAGAGACCTCCTCCACCAACGACACGTCTGTGAGAGAGACCTCCTCCACCAACGACACGTCTGTGAGAGAGACCTCCTCCACCAACGACACGTCTGTGAGAGAGACCTCCTCCACCAACGACACGTCTGTGAGAGAGACCTCCTCCACCGACACGTCTGTGAGAGAGACCTCCTCCACCAACGACACGTCTGTGAGAGAGACCTCCTCCACCAACGACACGTCTGTGAGAGAGACCTCCTCCACCAACGACACGTCTGTGAGAGAGACCTCCTCCACCAACGACACGTCTGTGAGAGAGACCTCCAACAACGACACGTCTGTGAGAGACCTCCTCCACCAACGACACGTCTGTGAGAGAGACCTCCTCCACCAACGACACGTCTGTGAGAGAGACCTCCTCCACCAACAACACGTCTGTGAGAGAGACCTCCACCAACGACACGTCTGTGAGAGAGACCTCCTCCAACAACGACACGTCTGTGAGAGAGACCTCCTCCACCAACGACACGTCTGTGAGAGAGACCTCCACCAACGACACGTCTGTGAGAGAGACCTCCTCCACCAACGACACGTCTGTGAGAGAGACCTCCTCCACCAACGACACGTCTGTGAGAGAGACCTCCTCCACCAACGACACGTCTGTGAGAGAGACCTCCTCCTACGCCAGAGTTTTACTGTAGCTGTACTTTATTATGTTAAGATTCAAGATTTTTTTTGCCATTTGCAGTAAAACCACATTGGAAAAACGGTGCAAGTTTCCCATTACAGAGAAATTAGCTAAAAACTAAGACTTTTGACTTTAGAAGTGTGTGTGTGTGTACTTGTCTGTGTGTGTCTATGTGTGTGTACTTGTCTGTGTGTGTGTACTTGTCTGTGTGTGTCTGTGTGTGTGTACTTGTCTGTGTGTGTGTACTTGTCTATGTGTGTGTACTTGTCTGTGTGTGTCTATGTGTGTGTACTTGTCTGTGTGTGTCTATGTGTGTGTACTTCGTCTGTGTCTATGTGTGTGTGTACTTGTCTGTGTCTCTGTGTGTGTCTGTTTGTGTGTACTTGTCTTTGTGTGTCTGTGTGTGTAAGAGACCAATCACCTCTGGTTCTTCCTTCTCCTCAGTTTCCTCATCTCCAGGGTCCAGCTCCTGTGTGATCAGATGTTTTTCTTCCAGCTTCTTACAGAGTTTATCCAGACATAAAATCCTCTCTCCCTGAACATAAAACTTCGATCAACATTTCTCTCAAAGAATCAGCACAGAAACATAGTGTCCTCAGAACATTCAGTTAAATGCATTTTTTAAAGCCCTAACTCACTCGGAGGACTTTACAGATCTGTCTATTCACCAACACAGATCAGAGAATCAAACATTTCACACATAGATAATGTCACCCACAGGAGGCACATGTCAGACCTATTGTACATGTTTTTAGTGGTAGGGGAAACTGGAGCACTCGGAGAAAACCTGTGTAGACACGGGGAGAACATGCAAACACCACACAGAAAGGCCCGGAGGTGGAATCAAACCCAGAACCTTCTTGCTGTGAAGCATAAGCGCTAACCACTGTGCCACTATGCTAAACCTAACCCGGTATGTTAAGAATCGCAGTAATATTGAATCGTGGCTGAAATATTGCGATACTAAGTAAGTAAGTAATCTTTATTTATATACCGCCGTTCACAGACCAGAGTCTCAAAGCGGTTTACAATTGTTATTTTTTGGGCACTTGTCTCTCACTCCACACAGAGATGGGAGCGGGGTCGCCGAACAGGAGGCGCATGCCAGACCTATTGTACATATTTTTAGTGGTAGGGGAAACCGGAGTACCCGGAGGAAACCTACGCAGACACGGGGAGAACATGCAAACTCCACTCAGAAAGGCCCTGGTCCGGCCGGGATTCGAACCCAGGACCTTCTTGCTGAGAGGCGAGAGTGCTATCCACTCAGCCACCGTGCCGCCCAACTACTACTAATGAATCGTCACATAGTCGCCACTCCCCCCTGCTCCAGACTAGATCACAGATTGGTGCTTACAGCGTTGACGGCGTGCAGGAGGTTCTTTGCCGCCCGGTCGCTGTCCTGGGAGAGAACACAGAGGCGCCCCCTGCTGGTCCTGTGGCTGAGCTCGGTCTGGGTCCGGACTCTGCTGATCCCGGCAGCGATCGCCTCCAGCTGCTGCTCCACTGCGGACAGACCCCTCTCGTCCGAACTGCCCCCTGTGTGCAGATCCAGCAGCTTCCTCTGGGGAAACACTTACATTCAATTTATTTTGTATAGAACCTAAATCACAACAGAAGTCATCTCGCTGGACTTTACAAAGTTGTCGATTCGCCAACACAGATCAGAGAGTTGTCTTTAGGATCAAGGATGGACTTATCCATCCATAAACTCTGGTCCATGATCCTCTCCCACATGTACGTCTGGGTCTGATCCTAGTGGCTGCAGTTTCTTTGGTTGAATCCCCTCCGACCAATCAGAGAGCGGGGGAGGCGGGTGTTTTTGGTCGGTGTCGGTGACGTCAAGAGTTTGCGCTGAATTTTCTGGTTGTAGTTTGGCGGAGAATGTGATAGTAAAGTAATATGTTCTGGTTTGATCCAAATATTGAGAAACTGAAGCCGGAGCAAGAGGAATGTTTAGTAAATGTCATTGCTGCAAAGATGTTGTGGCTCTACTCCCCACAGGCTTCGTTAGTGGCAAAGGAGATGGCTAAAGCTAGGCTAAATGCTAGCAACTTACTCGGGCTCGTTACATACACATACACAGTAAACTCAGATCCAATCGTTAACCACTCCCACCTGTTAACGGAGCTCAATGGAGCAGATCCAGACCTTAGTATGAAATGAAATGAGTACTATGGTGCGGTACGACCAGGCTAGGACTTTAAACTACTTGAACCCTCTCTCCTCACTTTCATTGTTATTCACAGCGACAGTCTTTACAAAGTTGTGGATTTGCCAGATCAGAGAATCAAACAGAACACAGAAAATACAACACCCTCGTCAAGGAAGCACTCACACAGGGAGCACATTGACATAACGTTTGTGAAATGAAAAATGTTCAAGGAATAATATTCAATGAATTTAAGACCATGCAGACTTCTATCTGGATTGTCTGTGCGCTGCATTAATAACTCCAGGACGGTCTGGCGTCTCTGTTCTGACATACTTCTGATGCACATTGCGACACATCATATAAAAGCCTGTTTCTTCCTCTGTTCGGTCAGAAAGGACTCCAGAATTAACCAGTGTACAAGTGCGACCTGTGCTGCCTTTGTCGACATTTGTTCTACACGTTCTCGATTGAAATGATAATGAGAAAATGAAAAGCTCCCAAAAGTCTGTGTATGTGAGCTGTGTTTGTCTCTGTCTTCTCCCCTCACCTCCAGGCTCTGCAGATCTGCCTCACTTCTCTCTTTGGTCTCCAGCAGCGTCTGGTTTTCCGTCAGGAGAGAGTCCAGCTCCTGTTTCTTGATGTCATGTTGCTCCTTCAGCTGCTGGTGCTCTCTGCGTCTCTCCTCTGGGATCTTCTCCAGTTTGCTGATCTACAGAAATCACTATTTTTTAGCCTTTGTCGCAAATTTAGATTGAACATTTTCAGACAGAAACGTGAAAAAGAGAGGACAAGGCCAATCAGCCAACGTACTATATCCTCTGCATTGTGTTGCTGCTGGGCCTCTATGGTTGTTTCTGCAGACTAATTTGACCAGGAATCCCCAGGAGATGTTTCTATAGACCTCATGGTTCACTAAAACGGCTTGTCCTCAGCTGTCATAGAACCTACAGCTTTCACAAAGGTTGGGTCTCTTCTCAACCTGAACTTTCTTTCTATTGAAATCCATCAGTTTTCAATAAATCCAAACATCTGTGCAACAAACGCTCAAGTCGGTCGCCATCACTCGTCTCCTTCTAAACCGCAATTCAATTCAAATGTATTTATTCTTATATAGCCCTAAATCACAATAGTAGTTATCTCGGGAGACTTTACAAAACCGTTGATTTCGCTAACACAGATCAGAGAATCAAACGGTTGCAAAAACACATAGAGCCATCGGTCCATAAGGGGCAGAAACCGATGTCCATGAATGTTGTTGAATGTTGACTCGAGTGTCCTGGATCTTCAACACAGTCCTTTTAGTTAGACCCTCTAAAAGTCTAACAGATCCTACTGCATCAACAAACCCACCTCTGCCCTCTGCTGGCAGCTCTGATTAACCAGTGCAGAACGCTCAGGACCAGATTTCAGCCCAGACAACATAGTACCTCATGGTTTCGGGGCTGAAGTCACTGATTTACTCCAGCACTGAAGTCCTTTGATTGCAACATTAAAACTCCTACTTTTCCATCACATCTTTACAGCGGTATTTTTCAGTGTAATGATTGTACCTTGACCAAGTAGAGGTCTTCGTACCTTGTCCAAGTAGAGGTTTTCGTAGAAGTCCATGATCTGCCTGTACTCTGCAGTGACCTCCTTCATCAGCTCCTCGTAGTTGTGTTGAATCTGTAAAGAGTTGTCCTCGATGTCCTGGTATCGCCTCTGCACTTCTGCTGCCGCCTGTTCCCTGTCGATTATTACAAATGTGTGACTAAACATGTATGTAAGCTTTATTTTTGTGGCGCATTTCACAGACCAAGGTCACGTAAAGCAATTTAGAATGATCTGTGGTAGAGCGAGATGTCAACTCCACTCAAAGGAGAGCCTGGGACCCAAGGTCTTTACTGGGGAGCAAGAGTGCTAACCACTCAGCCACCGTGACACCGGAGGTCATAATGAGGCCCTTGTTGTAGATCGAACACTTTTAAAAAGTCCTCACGTTTCCTGTTGTGCCGAATTACATCTGGATGGGAAAACAGTCTTCAGTTGTCAGAGAGAGACCGGAAAGAGACCAAAGAGAGAAATCAGAAAGAAACCTAAAAGGGAAGATAGAGAGATAAGAGAGAGACAGGGGAGAGACCCGAGGATAGGCCAGAGAGAGACCAGAGTGAGAGACACCTGGAAAAGAAGAGAGAGAGAGAGAGCAGAGAGAGGCCTGAGACAAGAGAGAAAGATAGAGACAGACCATAGAAAGTATGCAATTAAGTTTCTGACTCTCCAAAGAAAAATACTCTGGGAGACTTACTTCTGGGCGGCGTACTTCTCCCCGATGGTTTCCATGGTGCTCTCCCACTCGTGCTCCAGGAAGTCCATACGCTTCCTCTGCAGCTGCAGCAGCGTCTGGATGTGCTGCAGGTGAGAACTGTGCAACTGCTGCAACTGGCTCTCCACATCCTCCACAGTCAGCGGCAGAGTCTGGGCACAAACACACACTCTCACAAACACACACTCTCACAAACACACACTCTTACTATCACACACTCTCACAAACACACACTTTCACAAACACACACTCTTACTATCACACACTCTCACAAACACACACTCTCACAAACACACACTCTTACTATCACACACTCTCACAAACACACACTTTCACAAACACACACTCTCACAAACACACACTCTCACAAACGCACACTCTCACAAACACACACTCTTACTATCACACACTCTCACAAACACACACTCTCACAAACACACACTCTCTCAAACACACACTCTCACAAACACACACTCTCACAAACACACACTCTCACAAACGCACACTCTCACAAACACACACTCTTACTATCACACACTCTCACAAACACACACTCTCACAAACGCACACTCTTACTACCACACACTCTCTCAAACACACACTCTCACAAACACACACTCTCACAAACACACACTCTCACAAACGCACACTCTCACAAACACACACTCTCTCAAACACACACTCTCACAAACACACACACTCTCACAAACACACACTCTTACAAACACACACCCTTACTATCACACACTCTCACAAACACACACTCTCACAAACACACACTCTCACAAACGCACACTCTCACAAACACACACTCTCACAAACACACACTCTCACAAACACACACTCTTACTATCACACACTCTCACAAACACACACTCTCACAAACGCACACTCTTACTACCACACACTCTCTCAAACACACACTCTCACAAACACACACTCTCACAAACACACACTCTCACAAACGCACACTCTCACAAACACACACTCTCTCAAACACACACTCTCACAAACACACACTCTCACAAACACACACTCTTACAAACACACACCCTTACTATCACACACTCTCACAAACACACACTCTCACAAACACACACTCTCACAAACGCACACTCTCACAAACACACACTCTCACAAACACACACTCTCACAAACACACACTCTCACAAACACACACTCTCACAAACGCACACTCTCACAAACACACACTCTTACAATCACACACTCTCACAAACACACACTCTCACAAAACACACACTCTCACAAACACACACTCTCACAAACACACACTCTCACAAACGCACACTCTCACAAACACTCTTACTATCACACACTCTCACAAACACACACTCTCACAAACACACACTCTCTCAAACACACACTCTCACAAACACACACTCTCACAAACACACACTCTTACTATCACACACTCTCACAAACACACACTCTCACAAACACACACTCTTACTATCACACACTCTCACAAACACACACTCTCACAAACACACACTCTTACTACTATCACACACTCTCACAAACACACACTCTTACTATCACACACTCTCACAAACACACACTCTTACTATCACACACTCTCACAAACACACACTCTCGCAAACACACACTCTCACAAACGCACACTCTCACAAACGCACACTCTCACACACACACACTCTCACAAACACACACTCTCACAAACACACACTCTCACAAACACACACTCTCAAACACACACTCTCACAAACACACACTCTCACAAACACACACTCTCACAAACACACACTCTCACAAACACACACTCTTACTATCACACACTCTCACAAACACACACTCTCACAAACGCACACTCTTACTACCACACACTCTCACAAACACACACTCTCAAACACACACTCTCACAAACACACACTCTCACAAACACACACTCTCACAAACGCACACTCTCACAAACACACACTCTCTCAAACACACACTCTCACAAACACACACTCTCACAAACACACACTCTTACAAACACACACCCTTACTATCACACACTCTCACAAACACACACTCTCACAAACACACACTCTCACAAACGCACACTCTCACAAATACACACTCTCACAAACACACACTCTCACAAACGCACACTCTCACAAACACACGCTCTCACAAACACACGCTCTCACAAACACACACTCTCTCAAACACACACTCTCACAAACACACACTCTCACAAACACACACTCTCACAAACGCACACTCTCACAAACACAAACTCTTACTATCACACACTCTCACAAACACACACTCTCACAAACACACACTCTCACAAACGCACACTCTCACAAACACACACTCTTACTATCACACACTCTCACAAACACACACTCTCACAAACACACACTCTCTCAAACACACACTCTCACAAACACACACTCTCACAAACACACACTCTCACAAACTCACACTCTCACAAACACACACTCTTACTATCACACACTCTCACAAACACACACTCTTACTACCACACACTCTCACAAACACACACTCTTACTATCACACACTCTCACAAACACACACTCTTACTACCACACACTCTCACAAACACACACTCTCTCAAACACACACTCTCACAAACACACACTCTCACAAACGCACACTCTCACAAACACACACTCTCTCAAACACACACTCTCACAAACACACACTCTCACAAACACACACTCTTACAAACACACACCCTTACTATCACACACTTTCACAAACACACACTCTCACAAACACACACTCTCACAAACGCACACTCTCACAAACACACACTCTCACAAACACACACTCTCACAAACACACACTCTCACAAACACACACTCTCACAAACGCACACTCTCACAAACACACACTCTTACTATCACACACTCTCACAAACACACACTCTCACAAACACACACTCTCACAAACACACACTCTCACAAACACACACTCTCACAAACGCACACTCTCACAAACACACACTCTTACTATCACACACTCTCACAAACACACACTCTTACTATCACACACTCTCACAAACACACACTCTTACTATCACACACTCTCACAAACACACACTCTTACTATCACACACTCTCACAAACACACACTCTCACAAACGCACACTCTTACTACCACACACTCTCACAAACACACACTCTCTCAAACACACACTCTCTCAAACACACACTCTCACAAACACACACTCTCACAAACACACACTCTCACAAACACACACTCTCTCAAACACACACTCTCACAAACACACACTCTCACAAACACACACTCTTACCAACACACACCCTTACTGTCACACACTCTCACAAACACACACTCTCACAAACACACACTCTCACAAACACACACTCTCACAAGCACACACTCTCACAAACGCACACTCTCACAAACACACACTCTTACTATCACACACTCTCACAAACACACACTCTCACAAACACACACTCTCACAAACACACACTCTCACAAACACACACTCTCACAAACGCACACTCTCACAAACACACACTCTTACTATCACACACTCTCACAAACACACACTCTCTCAAACACACACTCTCACAAACACACACTCTCACAAACACACACTCTTACTATCACACACTCTCACAAACACACACTCTCACAAACACACACTCTTACTATCACACACTCTCACAAACACACACTCTTACTATCACACACTCTCACAAACACACACTCTTACTATCACACACTCTCACAAACACACACTCTTACTATCACACACTCTCACAAACACACACTCTCGCAAACACACACTCTCACAAACGCACACTCTCACAAACGCACACTCTCACAAACACACACTCTCACAAACACACACTCTCACAAACACACACTCTTACAAACACACACCCTTACTATCACACACTCTCACAAACACACACTCTCACAAACACACACTCTTACTATCACACACTCTCACAAACACACACTTTCACAAACACACACACTCTCACAAACACACACTCTCACAAACGCACACTCTCACAAACACACACTCTTACTATCACACACTCTCACAAACACACACTCTCACAAACACACACTCTCTCAAACACACACTCTCACAAACACACACTCTCACAAACACACACTCTCACAAACGCACACTCTCACAAACACACACTCTTACTATCACACACTCTCACAAACACACACTCTCACAAACGCACACTCTTACTACCACACACTCTCTCAAACACACACTCTCACAAACACACACTCTCACAAACACACACTCTCACAAACGCACACTCTCACAAACACACACTCTCTCAAACACACACTCTCACAAACACACACTCTCACAAACACACACTCTTACAAACACACACCCTTACTATCACACACTCTCACAAACACACACTCTCACAAACACACACTCTCACAAACGCACACTCTCACAAACACACACTCTCACAAACACACACTCTCACAAACACACACTCTCACAAACACACACTCTCACAAACGCACACTCTCACAAACACACACTCTTACTATCACACACTCTCACAAACACACACTCTCACAAACACACACTCTCACAAACACACACTCTCACAAACGCACACTCTCACAAACACTCTTACTATCACACACTCTCACAAACACACACTCTCACAAACACACACTCTCTCAAACACACACTCTCACAAACACACACTCTCACAAACACACACTCTTACTATTCACACACTCTCACAAACACACACTCTCACAAACACACACTCTCTCAAACACACACTCTCACAAACACACACTCTCACAAACACACACTCTCACAAACACACACTCTCACAAACACACACTCTTACTATCACACACTCTCACAAACACACACTCTTACTATCACACACTCTCACAAACACACACTCTCACAAACACACACTCTTACTATCACACACTCTCACAAACACACACTCTCACAAACACACACTCTTACTATCACACACTCTCACAAACACACACTCTTACTATCACACACTCTCACAAACACACACTCTCGCAAACACACACTCTCACAAACGCACACTCTCACAAACGCACACTCTCACAAACACACACTCTCACAAACACACACTCTCACAAACACACACTCTCACAAACACACACTCTCAAACACACACTCTCACAAACACACACTCTCACAAACACACACTCTCACAAACACACACTCTCACAAACACACACTCTCACAAACGCACACTCTTACTACCACACACTCTCACAAACACACACTCTCTCAAACACACACTCTCACAAACACACACTCTCACAAACACACACTCTCACAAACGCACACTCTCACAAACACACACTCTCTCAAACACACACTCTCACAAACACACACTCTCACAAACACACACTCTTACAAACACACACCCTTACTATCACACACTCTCACAAACACACACTCTCACAAACACACACTCTCACAAACGCACACTCTCACAAACACACACTCTCACAAACACACACTCTCACAAACACACACTCTCACAAACACACGCTCTCACAAACACACACTCTCACAAACACACACTCTCTCAAACACACACTCTCACAAACACACACTCTCACAAACACACACTCTCACAAACGCACACTCTCACAAACACAAACTCTTACTATCACACACTCTCACAAACACACACTCTCACAAACACACACTCTCACAAACGCACACACTCTCACAAACACACACTCTTACTATCACACACTCTCACAAACACACACTCTCACAAACACACACTCTCTCAAACACACACTCTCACAAACACACACTCTCACAAACACACACTCTCACAAACGCACACTCTCACAAACACACACTCTTACTATCACACACTCTCACAAACACACACTCTTACTACCACACACTCTCACAAACACACACTCTCTCAAACACACACTCTCACAAACACACACTCTCACAAACACACACTCTCACAAACGCACACTCTCACAAACACACACTCTCTCAAACACACACTCTCACAAACACACACTCTCACAAACACACACTCTTACAAACACACACCCTTACTATCACACACTCTCACAAACACACACTCTCACAAACACACACTCTCACAAACGCACACTCTCACAAACACACACTCTCACAAACACACACTCTTACTATCACACACTCTCACAAACACACACTCTCACAAACACACACTCTTACTATCACACACTCTCACAAACACACACTCTTACTATCACACACTCTCACAAACACACACTCTTACTATCACACACTCTCACAAACGTACACTCTCACAAACACACACTCTCTCAAACACACACTCTCACAAACACACACTCTCTCAAACACACACTCTCTCAAACACACACTCTCACAAACACACACTCTCTCAAACACACACTCTCACAAACACACACTCTCTCAAACACACACTCTCTCAAACACACACTCTCACAAACGCACACTCTCACAAACGCACACTCTCACAAACACACACTCTCACAAACACACACTCTCACAAACACACACTCTCTCAAACACACACTCTCACAAACACACACTCTCTCAAACACATACTCTCACAAACACACACTCTCACAAACACATACTCTCTCAAACACACACTCTCACAAACACACACTCTCACAAACGCACACTCTCACAAACACACACTCTCACAAACGCACACTCTCACAAACACACACTCTCACAAACACACACTCTCTCAAACACACACTCTCACAAACACACACTCTCTCAAACACACACTCTCACAAACACACACTCTCTCAAACACACACTCTCTCAAACACACACTCTCTCAAACACACACTCTCACAAACGCACACTCTCACAAACGCACACTCTCACAAACACACACTCTCACAAACACACACTCTCTCAAACACACACTCTCACAAACACACACTCTCTCAAACACACACTCTCACAAACACACACTCTCTCAAACACAATGTCAACCAGAGACAGCAGAGACACCAGAGAAAAGAGAGAGATCAGAGTGACGGACCAGAGAGAGACAAGAGAGAGAGAGAGACCAAAGAGAAACCAGAGAGAAAAATAGACAAGAGAGAGAGAGAAAGACTGGAACCCCCCCCCAACGACTCAAAATCGACTAATTAAGGGGATGAGAATGAATGAATGAAAGGCTGGAGGCCATGATTACCAAGGAATATCCCTGGATACTGGTTTGTCGTGGGTAGGTTGCTAGGATACGGTACCAGATCCTTACACTTAATGGAAACACAACCGAGCTAAGTACGGCTGGTGGAAACAGGGCTTTAGAGCTGATACAGTCGCTTAAGCCAGTATATTTATCCATAAAGATGAATATTTAAAGTATGTTTGGGATGTTTAGGTATTTGCTTTCTCCGGGTCACTCTCTCGCGTTTTTTGAGTTTCTGGACTCACTGGGGTCGGCCTCTGTCAGTCTGTTGTCATTGTCTTTGTCTGTCTGTCTTTTGAAAGTATCTGGTCTGTTGCGTTAAACAGAAACCTTTAAGATGCGGCTGTCCAGTGCGTCCACTCGTCTCTCAAAGGTCTGCTCCAGCGAGTCCAGATGGTTCTTCATCCTGGTGTTTTTACTCTGCCGGAGGTTGGATCTCCAGCCGTCCTGCACCTTCAGAGAGTTGAACGCACTGTTTTTCTCATCGTCCTGGAGCTTGTCCTGCGAAAACAACACAGACACAATGGCAGATTTATAGAGAGAGACTAGAGAGAGAGAGACCAGAGGGAGATGCCAGAGAGAGAGACCAGAGGAAGAGACTAGAGAGAGAGAGACCAGAGGGAGAGGCCAGAGAGAGAGACTAGAGAGAGAGACCAGAGGAAGAGACTAGAGAGAGAGAGACCAGAGGGAGAGGCCAGAGAGAGAGACTAGAGAGAGAGACCAGAGGAAGTGACAAGAGAGAGAGAGACTAGAGAAAGGCCAGAGAGAGACCAGAGAGAGACTAGAGAGAGAGAGACCAGAGAGAGACCAGAGAGATGCCAGAGAAAGACTAGAGAGAGACCCGAGAGAGACCAGAGAGAGACTAGAGAAAGGCCAGAGAGAGACCAGAGAGAGACTAGAGAAAGGCCAGAGAGAGACCAGAGAGATAGTGAGAGAGACCAGAGCAAGATCCGAGAAACAGACCCGAGATAGGAGAGACCAGAGAGAGAGACCAAAGAAAAAAGACCAGATACAAGAGAGAGACCAGAGATCATAGACAAAAGAGAGACCAGGGAGTGACAGTCTTCTGAACTAATCACTACGGCGCAAACAAGCCACAAACTGTCATAATACACTAACGCTTATATGATGTAGTACATGAAGTATTTGGAGTACACACATGGTATACAGTATGTACACACAGATGCAGGAGGAGTGGGAGAGTCTCACCCTGAGGAAGTGTGTGAGGATCTCTTGTTTCTTGCGGTTCAGCTCGGCCTCGGCCATGGCCCTCTGCTGCAGGTACAGGGGCCGGTCCTCCTCCGACCTGACACCTTTACTGCCCCGGCTCCTCCTGTCCCGTGGCATCTCTGTCCCACAACTCTGGAGGTGGTCGGTCAGATTAGAGCAAAACACAGCTGCAGATCAGAGACATGCTACATCAAAGGCTAATACAGAGACAGAAGAAGAAATCTCAACCCACTGCTTCAGAATGCACGGCTCTACGTCGGGCTTAGAGACGGAACAATGATAGAATAGAAAAGTAAACATTGAGGTGGTAATGGCAGTGACAAGATCCTGGAGCAGGGGTCTCCAACCTGTGGCTCGGGAACTACCAGTAGCTCTCCACCCTCGTTCAGGTAGCTCCCCAAAGGATTCAAGAATTTAACACATGACCCTGAATGATTCCATTTTCATTTTTTTCATTTATTCATTTATAAATGCAAAGGCATGGCCGTATAATTCTGCCTGAAAAGCAGTGGGAAGAAGAAAAACTTGAAATGATCACCTTCACTGTTACTTCGTTCAAGCATTGTTTTACAGTGTTATATCATGATGGCGTTCCCTTTTATCTATTCTATTTTAAGATAAAATAAGACTAAGATTTTGTTAAATTTTTTGAATCTTTAATAAATGTACAAATCATTTAACAAAAAACGTTTGCAAAAATTTAATTAAAAAACCATTGCATTTCTTTGATAACATGACCGTTGGAATTAAAAGCCCCCTCCCACCCCAGAGTCTATTGATTGTACAATGGAGAAATGTACTCATTTGGCATAAGCAGGATATAAAGAAATAATGAGTATTTTATCTATAATTCTTGTCATTACCGCAGGGAGACAGTGCAGTGTGTTCTCTGTGTTATTACATAGACTACAATTTTATCACAACTGCTAAAGTAAGTGAATCATCTTTATTGATATAGCACGTTTTACAGACCAGGGTCCCCCAAAGTGCTTGACTGTTTTTGAAGAAAAGAAAAAGGAGAAGCTCTGCCATTTCTGTTTTTATGAAAGTTGCTCTTTTCTGTCCAAAATATGACTATTTTTATAAATTTGTGTTATATATTTGTGTCAAATATAATTAAAGGAAATATCTGATGTTTATGATCTGACTGTAAGTTGAATTAAATCATTTATAAAACCACAAAATTCATTTAATTGTATTGTAATGATCAATACTAATCTGAAAACGCTACAACAACAACAAATCCTCTTGCCATCACAAATATAAAACTATTCTTTGAACCCTCTAGAACAGCCATTCCCAAACTCAGTAACACCGAGGCCCCCTTAAAAATCTGACGGGTCTGCGTGGCCCCCCAAAATAATATCCAAGAAGACAACATTAAGAATAGGCTCTTCTGGTTATTTTATTTTGGGGAAATAGCCTTTGCTACAAACATTGTAATACAAAAATGATTACAGAGGATTATTCAAGTCAAATAATGAACACAAATATTTTAATATTACAAACAAAACATTATAAATTTAACATTAAATAATTATATTATTTTTTTTATGACCTCCCGCGGCCCCCCTGCAGTACCCTCGCGGCCCACCAGGGGGCCGCGGACCCCACTTTGGGAGACACTGCTCTAGAATGACTCTTTTTTTTGCAGTGGACAAAACTAGCACTAAAAATCTTATTAAAAAAGCATTATGTCTGGCTGTCTCTCCGCTCTCCCTCAGCGATAGGACCAATAATAATCTGTAGTCAGTACTCACACGCACAGTATTATCACCGACAGTATTATTTTTGCTGTTTTCCCAAAGATCCGCGGCTGTGTCTCTTCTCTCCGGGGTTCTGTTGTCCGTCTCCTTGGAGATTTCACATCTGAAACTGCACTTACCTCGATCTGCCGCCAGGGGTCGCCAACATTCAGATGAAGAGGTCCTGGATTCGTCCCACAGAGGAAATCCCAGGTTACAGAAGACACATGATACTGGATGTTAAAGGTTATAAAGGAGGATTTTCTACTTCCGGGTGGATCATCAACACTATTGGTCCTCCCAGTTGTCAATCATTCTGGTGATGCGTGCTCGTCCAATAAGACCAGAGAGTTTTGTTCAAACAGTGGAGAGGCCGTTTCTTTTCTAAATTTTGGGAAAACAGCACAATCTTATACTTATCTTGAGCTTAATCTTGCAACAAAGTATAAAAGTATAAACATATAACGTGTAAACCTGTGTATTCTCTAATGCCCAGGTGTCAAACTGAGGCCCGTGGCCCAAATGCAGCCTGTTAGACTTTTTTAGTGGCCACTGAATGTTTTGTTTGTTATTACTACAGACTTACAGTATTGATGTTGAGGTTAAGCTAGTCTTAAAGATAATATTCACAACAGTATGAGAAAAACACATTATTGGTTTTATGCTAAAATTTTAGTTCAGTCCCTGTGCTCCTCAGAGTCCCAGCAGGAGGCCAGTCCCTGTGCTTCTCAGAGTCACCAGCAGGAGGCCAGTCCCTGTGCTCCTCAGAGTCACCAGCAGGAGGTCAGTCCCTGTGCTCCTCAGTCCCAGCAGGAGGTCAGTCCCTGTGCTCCTCAGTCCCAGCAGGAGGTCAGTCCCTGTGCTCCTCAGTCCCAGCAGGAGGCCAGTCCCTGTACTCCTCAGTCCCAGCAGGAGGTCAGTCCCTGTGCTCCTCAGTCCCAGCAGGAGGCCAGTCCCTGTGCTCCTCAGAGTTATAGTTGCTTCATAAGTCACTGACATGTCACAGATGTAGGCCATGGAGAGACTTGTAACAATCAGAGCTGCTTTAAAGTCTATTCTCTGAGCCACAGGTGCAGAGACCTGAGAACTGGACTAATGTGATGGTGGTACTTCCTGGTTCTAGTCCGGACTCAAGCTGCCGCGTTTTGAATTTATTGCATTTGTGTTTTTAAAAGTCTGTTAAAGGTCTCCTTCTAGGACAATAAAGTCTCACTAAACATTCTTACATAATTTCCTCTTCCTGAACTTATTCACTGTGAGCCACTGTTGAAGGACCATGAAATCGTGTTTGTTGAGGACAGAAGCCCCAGTCGTGCACTTTCCAGTCTGTAATTAATAGTTAACCGGGTTAGAGGCCCCTGACTGTGGCCACAGGACCCTGGGCCCCGAGGGCAGGCTCTCACTGTGCCCTGGCCCTTCACTCATTAACACAGATTCAGAACGACCCGTTTTGTTCAACTTCAAAGGCACTTTTGATCAACCATAGGCACGGTGGCTGAGTGGTTAGCCCTCTCAGCAAGAAAGTCCTGGGTTGTTGTGGCTTCTCTGAGGTTGTTACACAAGTGGCCAAAGTGTCTCTACCTCCTGATCAAAACCCCTGAATAAATATCAAAGGGAACGCTTCAGCTTTGCTTGCTCCCGCGACCCGGCAATGGATGAAGCGGAAGAAAATGGATGGATAAATCTTAAAGTAAATTCCCCCGTATCTTCAACAAGATGGAATTCAGAAATGAACAGGAGTTTGCATAGGAGTGCAAAGCTAACAACAATAGATCCCCGCTCTCTGAGGCTAGAACTCTCCTGAAACGCTGGAATCTCAGTGGGACTTCCTCAGATGGATAATGGTCAATGATAATAGTTCAGGATTACTCATCAAAAGTATTTGTTTCTTCTTTACCAAATAACAGTTGGTTAGTGATGTAATAAACGTACAGATAAGAACAGCAGCTGACGATGCGTCATGTGTGACTTTGCAAGACACTTTTGAGGACGACGGAATTTTGGTCTGGTTAGAAGTTAGAAGAGTTAAGGATGATGTCTCCTAATGTGGAGCTGGATGTGGATGGAGAGTTTGTTGGAGAACATGGAGAACATGGAGAACATGGAGAACATGGAGAACATGGAGAACATGAAGAACATGGAGAACATGGAGAACATGGAGAACATGGAGAACATGAAGAACATGGAGAACATGAAGAACATGGAGAACATGGAGAACATGGAGAACATGAAGAACATGGAGAACATGAAGAACATGGAGAACATGGAGAACATGGAGAACATGGAGAACATGGAGAACATGAAGAACATGGAGAACATGGAGAACATGGAGAACATGAAGAACATGGAGAACATGGAGAACATGAAGAACATGGAGAACATGGAGAACATGAAGAACATGGAGAACATGGAGAACATGGAGAACATGGAGAACATGGAGAACATGGAGAACATGGAGAACATGAAGAACATGGAGAACATGGAGAACATGGAGAACATGGAGAATAGATGGTTACTCTTCCTGATCTTTCTTTGAGAAGGGAAGTAGAAGACATTACCAGGTCGAATCTCCAACAGCAGCTCCGGAGAGGCCAGACGGAGCAGGTCAGAGCAGGTGCAGTGAGGCTGTGGTTAGTGGGGGGTGGAGGGGGGTGGAGTGGGGGCAGCAGTGGGAGGAAGAGGGGGGTGATTACAAAGCACAGCCACAACAGCACTATCATGTCCAGCTTTGGTCTGTGGTTCTATGGTACAGACTGAAGCAGGAGACATCTGCCCTGTTCCACCAGCCCTACTCTTGACCTTACTCTACTCTACTGTACTCTACTGTACTCTACTCTACTCTACTCTACTCTTCTGTACTGTACTCTACTCTCTTCTACCGTACTCTACTCTACTGTACTCTACTCTATTCTACTGTACTCTACTCTATTCTACTGTATTCGACTCTATTCTACTCTACCTGGTTGCGATTCCATTACAAATTAGTCTCTGGAACCCAAAACAAACCAGTATCTGGAAAATTCCTTGGTAACCATGGCTTCCAGCAGCACTCTGAAGAACCAGGGCCAAGATGGACTAAATAAGGACCTGGTACTGGTTGAACAGGGCCAGTGGTAAATCTCCCAATTGGGATAGAGTAGAGCCGAGTACAGTAGAATAGAGTAGGGTAAATGTAGGGCCAAGTAGGGCTGGTGAAAACAGTGCCTTATGGTTCTATGGTACACACTGGTGCATATGGTTCTGTTTAAAGGATCATTTCTCCTCTGTCACGGTGCCCAGAGCCCGGAGACTGATTGGATTCCCAGTCCTCACCAGGGCACGAAATGTTTAGAGCACAGTCTCGCCAGCTTCGGTCAGACATTGATATAATTATATATTTTTATGTGTAGTTTTATAGGCAATATGTTTCAGAACTCAATGGCCAGCGCCTCAAAAGGCAGACAATAGACCACAGACGATAGACTTCTGTAAGAGAATCCAACACGTTTATTAGGCACAGACAAGAATCAGTCCAAGAGATGATAGAGAATGGGTTTCAGAGGCTAAAGTCCAAACTGAGGGAAAAGGCCCCACACACAAGCAGGGACTCACCACCAGAGCAGCGTCATACCTGTACACAGAGGGACGATGCTAACCCGCTAGCTCAATAAAACCCAAATGTGAAGTGCTCATGGTGAAGTTTTGCTCCAACTCGCTCTGGCTCCTGTTGTCTTACATTGAAAAGTAAACTCCTCCAGCTCAGCAGTCGTTTGTGTCACACTCATTGTTTTTATGGTGAATCTTATTTTTTGGGAGATTCATCATCAGGTGCCAGGGTAGTTGCCATAGTAATTCAATAGCAATGTTTGCCATGTTAACGGTTGCCATAGTTATCATTGCCATAGCAATAGTCACCATGGCAACCGTTGCTATGGCAAAAGTCATGGCAACCATTGCGATGGCTATGTAATGTAATGTAAGTAATGTAGTATTTATATACCGCCTTTTCACTGCAGATCTGAGTCTCAAAGCGGTTTACAATTGTTAATTTTTGGGCATTTGTCTCTCACTCCACACAGAGATGGGAGCGGGGTCGCCAGTACAGGAGGCACATGCTAGAACTATTGGACATATTTTTTAGTGGTAGGGGAAACCGGAGTACCCGGAGGAAACCTACGCAGACACAGGGAGAACATGCAAACTCCACTCAGAAAGGCCCTGGTCCGACCGGGATTCGAACCCAGGACCTTCTTGCTGAGAGGCGAGAGTGCTATCCACTCAGCCACCGTGCCGCCCATCCCGCCCATCCCGCCTATGGTCACCATGGCAACCGTTGCTATGGCAATTTTCACCATGGCCACCTTTGCTATGACAATAGTCATCATGGAAACCGTTGCTATGATAATATTCACTATAGAAACTATTGCTATGGCAATCAGTATAGTAACCGGTACCATAGTAACCACCACTATGGGAACTATCAATCTCAGCCAACTGTTACCATGACAACTGACAGACAATCTGGTTAATCTTGTTTTAATGTGAATTTCTTTCAACTTTGTTCTCAAGAGTTTGCTTACAGTTGCCATAGTGATGGTTTCCAAGGTAATAGGTGCCATTGTGATTGCCATGGCGACCGTTCCTATGGAAATCACAATTGCAAATGTTTCTTTGGAAACGGACAGACGATCTGGTTTATTTCTTGCAATTTTTTTGCAAGCTTATTTTTTGGGACTTTGTTTTCGAAAACGTTCTCACTAGATTTGTAACATAGTCAGTGTTAATAATTATGATTATGTACTGAGTATTACACTCTTTAAGAAGTTGTCAATTCATCCACATCACCAATTTCTTTTTTTTTATCAGGTTGTACTGAGCTGATCAAGTTAGTGGATCTCTTGTCAGTTTAGTGGAACCCTGCTCTATATAACCTTTGTAAATGAGTTGTAAATGAGTCATATAAGGATTGACCAATCAGATGCCTTCAAACTCCAGCTCACCTTAGCAACCGCCTTAGCAACATGTCTGCCCCTGAAATGTCCATATAAGGACATTGGCTCCAGCTAGCTTATGATCAAACCAGCTTTTTACGCATCAAGGCTAACACTGTGGTGATGTCACACTGGAGCAGTCCTCTCCTGATTTACATGAGTGGAGATGATAGACTCTATGAAACAGCTTTAAAGTTGAAGTGGCACCCCGTTTATAAGCTTTACAGTGTCACAAAGATATGCAGAAAAAATGTAAGGTATTTGATACAATATATCAAATATAATAATAATACTCAATTGTGAGTTATTGTTTATTTGTGAAGCGTAACCCGCGGCGAGCCATTTGCAGGTTAATGGGGAGAGTAAACATGGTGACCTCACTTTTACAGTCTGCTTATATCTCCAACGTAAATTAGCCACAAACCAACTCCAGATGTGAAATAATCAGTCATTAGTCACGGTCAGAACAGGAGCCAGTTTCCATGTGTGCAGACAGAAGCAGGTTATGCAAGAGAGAGACCGACTGAGACCAGGCTTCCCAATCTGGGGTCGCACACGCACTGTGTATTTGATATTATGCCTATATGTCAAACTGTACAACGAACAAAGACACCTAAAGAACACTGCTGACCTGACCTGAAGCAGAATACAAAAACATCCCTTCATGCTCATGCTGCTAAAATACACAGGATCTTACACTTTCTTCTTTATTTATCGTGCTAAAGTTAGAGATTTGTTGTTTTTCTACTGGAGTTATTGTTCATTTATCTTGTGCTGTGTGCTTCTCATTCCTGCTGTTCTGGAGGATATTGAGTCCTGCATTTCTGGGTCACCTCCGTTATTATTATAGATCAATGGTCACTCACAAACTCGCTGTCAAGTCCAAGGTAAAAACAAACTCAAAAATACAAAACGAGACACAGGAACCAGGAAAACAGACAATGGACCAGCAACAAATGGGGAAGAGCTCAAGGTATAAACAGAGACATTCTCTGGTCTCTCTCTCTGGTCTCTCTCTCTGGTCTCTCTCTGTTCTTTCTCTGGTCTCTCTCTCTGGTCTCTCTCTGTTCTTTCTCTGGTCTCTCTCTCCTCTCTCTCTGGTCTCTCTCTGGTCTTTTTCTCTCTCTGGTCTCTCTCTCTGGTCTCTCTCTGGTCTCTTTCTGGTCTCTCTCTCTGGTCTCTCTCTGGTCTCTCTCTTGTCTCTCTCTGGTCTCACTCTCTGGTCTCTCTCTGCCCTCTTCGGTCTCTCTCTGGTCTCTCTCTCGCTCTCTCTGATCTCTCTGCTCTCTCTCTGGTCTCTCTCTTGTCTCTCTCTGGTCTCTCTCTGGTCTCTCTCTTGTCTCTCTCTGGTCTCTCTCTGGTCTCTCTCTTGTCTCTCTCTGATCTCTGTCTGATCTCTCTCTCTCTAGTAAACAAAACACTCACATAACTCCACACCACCTGCAGATGTGTCGTGTGTATATGATCCCGATCAGCCCAGTCTTTCTCCACACACTTTATCTCCTATATCTTTATCATCATGTTTACATTGTCTGAGAAGCGCGTGAACGTGTTGCCAGGTTGGACAGTGGCCCCCAGCCCGCCCCCTTTGATGCCATAACGAGGCTTTCTCCCACAGCTCAGCATCACACACACACCCCCTCTCTCTCTCTCTGTCTCTCCCACTCCTGGCTCCTGTAGAGACCTATTGGCTCTTGTAGACAGAGGCAGCAACTGACCGAGGCTCCAGCTGACCGAGGCTCCACCACACACAGAGTTCTTACCTGCGCGCCTGCATCATGGGTCCGGACGCGCTCCTCCTCTGCTCCCTCTGCTCCCTCTTCGGCCTCATCGGCTCTCAAGGTAAGAAAAGTTACCTGTTTGCTGCGTATTTCCACACATTCCGCTGCGTTTGGCTCAAGATTACAAAAGAAAATATTGAAACCGCGCAGAAACCCGAGCTCTGTAAAGACAAAGAAGAGTGTGTCGGTGATGTCACGGAGCGGGCTTGTTTGGGCTTGCGGTGCCAGCTCCCCGTTATCAGTGCGAGGATCTCTCCAAGTTTAGAAGTATTGGCCTAAAGCTTTTTGAGATGAAACAATAAGAGCAAAGAAGATCCCCCAGCGCAGTTTTTTTGTTATTGCATAATCTGAAAGAAATACTGCTGCTTGTCGTCTCAATTCAATGTATTTGTGTTCATAGCCCGAAATCACTACAGTAAGAGTTTGTGAGGACTTTACAAAGTTATTAATTCACCCACAGATAACAGAATCAAACAGTTAGAACGCAGAGAATGCAGTAACTAAGACCTATAGGAGCCGTGGGTCCTTAGGCAGAGGGATGACCACTGTCCAGAAATGTCCTGGATCACCACTGTCCTTAGACCCTCCTGCATCAGAGAGAAACATGTGAGAGACCTCAGGGAGACCCATACTGAGAGAGAGATCTGCTGCTGTAGATCCAGGACTGAGGCTGTAGATCCAGGACTGAGGCAGTAGACCCAGGACTGAGGCTGTAGATCCAGGACTGAGGCTGCAGACCCAGGACTGAGGCTGTAGATCCTGGACTGAGGCTGTAGATCCAGGACTGAGGCAGTAGACCCAGGACTGAGGCTGTAGATCCAGAACTGAGGCTGTAGATCCAGGACTGAGGCAGTAGACCCAGGACTGAGGCTGTAGATCCAGGACTGAGGCTGTAGACCCAGGACTGAGGCTGTAGACCCAGGACTGAGGCTGTAGATCCAGGACTGAGGCAGTAGACCCAGGACTGAGGCTGTAGATCCAGAACTGAGGCAGTAGACCCAGGACTGAGGCTGTAGACCCAGGACTGAGGCTGTAGACCCAGGACTGAGGCTGTAGATCCAGGACTGAGGCTGTAGATCCAGGACTGAGGCTGTAGATCCTGGACTGAGGCTGTAGATCCAGGACTGAGGCTGTAGATCCAGGACTGAGGCTGTAGATCCAGGACTGAGGCTGTAGATCCTGGACTGAGGCTGTAGATCCAGGACTGAGGCTGTAGATCCAGGACTGAGGCTGCAGATCCAGGACTGAGGCTGTAGAACCAGGACTGAGGCTGTAGATCCTGGACTGAGGCAGTAGACCCAGGACTGAGGCTGTAGATCCAGGACTGAGGCTGTAGATCCAGGATTGAGGCTGTAGATCCAGGACTGAGGCTGTAGACCCAGGACTGAGGCTGTAGATCCAGGACTGAGGCTGTAGATCCAGGACTGAGGCTGTAGACCCAGGACTGAGGCTGTAGATCCAGGACTGAGGCTGTAGATCCAGGACTGAGGCTGTAGACCCAGGACTGAGGCTGTAGACCCAGGACTGAGGCTGTAGATCCAGGACTGAGGCTGTAGACCCAGGACTGAGGCTGTATATCCAGGACTGAGGCTGTAGACCCACGACTGAGGCTGTAGACCCAGGACTGAGGCTGTAGATCCTGGACTGAGGCAGTAGACCCAGGACTGTACCACCTTCATCAGAGTCACACGTACATTGGGGGCACGAGGTCCAGTAGGAGTTCAAAGGTCAGGCCTCGGAATGCGGCGATGCCCCTCCACATCCTCAGAGCCTCAGACACTACTGTGATTTATACTTGAGTGCCCACAGCAGGTCCCCTCACCGGGAGGAGGGGGAGGAGGAAGAGGAGGAGGAGGAGGAGGAAGACACTGATGCCCTGGACATGCATGGGGACATGTGGAGCCTGACGTCTCGCTCCCACAGGTCGCTCAGAGCGGCACGTGGCTCCAGCCTTTCTGTGTGGAGTTAGAACCCAGGACCTTATTGAGGAGAGAGTGCTAACCACTCAGCCACCATGCCAATAAACAGCAGTTCAATAACTCCCAGATTTCGGAAAATTTTTGACTGCTTCCCACCCCCAAAAAACAGATTTAGTTTTTTACAACTTTTATTCAAATTAAGCAATTTATTCATTTTAAAAATCTTGAACACATGTTAAAACTGGTGAAAAGAACATTCATTGTAAGATATTCAGAAAAACAAAATACTTAACACTTAACTGCTGCAAGAAAACAGTGTGTTGCTATGGTAACCAGCACTTCAGTCCAGGACAATGGCTGTTGTTTGCCAAGCAGTCAAAATGAGTGGGAGTTAAAGGCTGAAAATGAAAAGATAATTTGAAACAAATATTGACACAGAAATAAACGACACAGAGCGAGAGACAAAGTTATGAAGACCACACACGTGAAGCCGTCAAATTGACTGCTCTGGGAGTTCTGCTGTTAGGTGTATAGGCAGAGTCCTGGTGCTTTATGGTGCTGAGTCCTGGTGCTTTATGGTGTGTTGTGTGGAGGAGATGCTGAGTGTTTTAGTGACGTCTGGCTCAGACTGGACTTTGTGGCTCTGCTCCACTGCATTAGTCTTGTTTACTTCAGGCGTCTAGACACAGAGCCTCGTGCCGATCTGCAACACACTAGAACCTTCTCTGGCTCCGGAATCCAACTGCTCTGAATCAGCTCTGAGCGGACACACAAACAGCTCTGAGCGGACACACAAACAGCTCTGAGCAGACACACAAACAGCTCTGAGCAGACACACAAACAGCTCTGAGCGGACACACAATCAGCTCTGAGCAGACACACAAACAGCTCTGAGCGGACACACAAACAGCTCTGAGCAGACACACAAACAGCTCTGAGCGGACACACAAACAGCTCTGAGCAGACACACAAACAGCTCTGAGCGGACACACAAACAGCTCTGAGCGGACACACAAACAGCTCTGAGCACACACACAAACAGCTCTGAGCGGACACACAAACAGCTCTAAGCGGACACACAAACAGCTCTGAGCAGACACACAAACAGCTCTGAGCAGACACACAAACAGCTCTGAGCAGACACAAACAGCTCTGAGCGGACACACAAACAGCTCTGAGCAGACACACAAACAGCTCTGAGCGGACACACAAACAGCTCTAAGCGGACACACAAACAGCTCTGAGCAGACACACAAACAGCTCTGAGCGGACACACAAACAGCTCTAAGCGGACACACAAACAGCTCTGAGCAGACACACAAACAGCTCTGAGCAGACACACAAACAGCTCTGAGCAGACACAAACAGCTCTGAGCGGACACACAAACAGCTCTGAGCAGACACACAAACAGCTCTGAGCGGACACACAAACAGCTCTGAGCGGACACACAAACAGCTCTGAGCAGACACACAAACAGCTCTGAGCAGACACACAAACAGCTCTGAGCAGACACACAAACAGCTCTGAGCGGACACACAAACAGCTTTGAACAGACACACAAACAGCTCTGAGCAGACACACAAACAGCTCTGAGCGGACACACAAACAGCTCTGAGCGGACACACAAACAGCTCTGAGCAGACACACAAACAGCTCTGAGCGGACACACAAACAGCTTTGAGCAGACACACAAACAGCTCTGAGCAGACACACAAACAGCTCTGAGCGGACACACAAACAGCTCTGAGCGGACACACAAACAGCTCTGAGCAGACACACAAACAGCTCTGAGCAGACACACAAACAGCTCTGAGCGGACACACAAACAGCTCTGAGCAGACACACAAACAGCTCTGAGCAGACACACAAACAGCTCTGAGCAGACACACAAACAGCTCTGAGCAGACACACAAACAGCTCTGAGCAGACACACAAACAGCTCTGAGCAGACACACAAACAGCTCTGAGCAGACACACAAACAGCTCTGAGCGGACACACAAACAGCTCTGAGCAGACACACACAGCTCTGAGCAACAGCTCTGAGCAGGACACACAAACAGCTCTGAGCGGACACAAACAACGACACAAACAGCTCTGAGCGACACACAAACAGCTCTGAGCGACACACAAACAGCTCTGAGCGGACACACAAACAGCTCTGAGCGACACACAAACAGCTCTGAGCGGACACACAAACAGCTCTGAGCGGACACACAAACAGCTCTGAGCGGACACACAAACAGCTCTGAGCGGACACACAAAGCAGCTCTGAGCAGACACACAAACAGCTCTGAGCGGACACACAAACAGCTCTGAGCAGACACACAAACAGCTCTGAGCGGACACACAAACAGCTTTGAGCAGACACACAAACAGCTCTGAGCAGACACACAAACAGCTCTGAGCAGACACACAAACAGCTCTGAGCAGACACAAACAGCTCTGAGCGAACACGCAAACAGCTCTGAGCAGACACACAAACAGCTCTGAGCAGACACACAAACAGCTCTGAGCAGACACACAAACAGCTCTGAGCGGACACACAAACAGCTCTGAGCAGACACACAAACAGCTCTGAGCGGACACACAAACAGCTCTAAGCGGACACACAAACAGCTCTGAGCAGACACACAAACAGCTCTGAGCGGACACACAAACAGCTCTAAGCGGACACACAAACAGCTCTGAGCAGACACACAAACAGCTCTGAGCAGACACACAAACAGCTCTGAGCAGACACAAACAGCTCTGAGCGGACACACAAACAGCTCTGAGCAGACACACAAACAGCTCTGAGCGGACACACAAACAGCTCTGAGCGGACACACAAACAGCTCTGAGCAGACACACAAACAGCTCTGAGCAGACACACAAACAGCTCTGAGCAGACACACAAACAGCTCTGAGCGGACACACAAACAGCTTTGAACAGACACACAAACAGCTCTGAGCAGACACACAAACAGCTCTGAGCGGACACACAAACAGCTCTGAGCGGACACACAAACAGCTCTGAGCAGACACACAAACAGCTCTGAGCGGACACACAAACAGCTTTGAGCAGACACACAAACAGCTCTGAGCAGACACACAAACAGCTCTGAGCGGACACACAAACAGCTCTGAGCGGACACACAAACAGCTCTGAGCAGACACACAAACAGCTCTGAGCAGACACACAAACAGCTCTGAGCGGACACACAAACAGCTCTGAGCAGACACACAAACAGCTCTGAGCAGACACACAAACAGCTCTGAGCAGACACACAAACAGCTCTGAGCAGACACACAAACAGCTCTGAGCAGACACACAAACAGCTCTGAGCAGACACACAAACAGCTCTGAGCGGACACACAAACAGCTCTGAGCGGACACACAAACAGCTCTGAGCAGACACACAAACAGCTCTGAGCGGACACACAAACAGCTCTGAGCGGACACACAAACAGCTCTGAGCAGACACACAAACAGCTCTGAGCGGACACACAAACAGCTCTGAGCGGACACACAAACAGCTCTGAGCAGACACACAAACAGCTCTGAGCGGACACACAAACAGCTCTGAGCGGACACACAAACAGCTCTGAGCGGACACACAAACAGCTCTGAGCAGACACACAAACAGCTCTGAGCAGACACACAAACAGCTCTGAGCGGACACACAAACAGCTCTGAGCAGACACACAAACAGCTCTGAGCGGACACACAAACAGCTTTGAGCAGACACACAAACAGCTCTGAGCAGACACACAAACAGCTCTGAGCAGACACACAAACAGCTCTGAGCAGACACAAACAGCTCTGAGCGAACACGCAAACAGCTCTGAGCAGACACACAAACAGCTCTGAGCAGACACACAAACAGCTCTGAGCAGACACACAAACAGCTCTGAGCGGACACACAAACAGCTCTGAGCAGACACACAAACAGCTCTGAGCGGACACACAAACAGCTCTGAGCGGACACACAAACAGCTCTGAGCAGACACACAAACAGCTCTGAGCAGACACACAAACAGCTCTGAGCGGACACACAAACAGCTTTGAGCAGACACACAAACAGCTCTGAGCAGACACACAAACAGCTCTGAGCAGACACACAAACAGCTCTGAGCAGACACAAACAGCTCTGAGCGAACACGCAAATAGCTCTGAGCGGACACACAAACAGCTCTGAGCGGACACACAAACAGCTCTGAGCGGACACACAAACAGCTCTGAGCAGACACACAAACAGCTCTGAGCAGACACACAAACAGCTCTGAGCGGACACACAAACAGCTCTGAGCAGACACACAAACAGCTCTGAGCAGACACACAAACAGCTCTGAGCAGACACACAAACAGCTCTGAGCAGACACACAAACAGCTCTGAGCAGACACACAAACAGCTCTGAGCAGACACACAAACAGCTCTGAGCAGACACAAACAGCTCTGAGCGAACACGCAAACAGCTCTGAGCGGACACACAAACAGCTCTGAGCAGACACACAAACAGCTCTGAGCGGACACACAAACAGCTCTGAGCGGACACACAAACAGCTCTGAGCGGACACACAAACAGCTCTGAGCGGACACACAAACAGCTCTGAGCGGACACAAACAGCTCTGAGCGGACACACAAACAGCTCTGAGCGGACACACAAACAGCTCTGAGCAGACACACAAACAGCTCTGAGCAGACACACAAACAGCTCTGAGCGGACACACAAACAGCTCTGAGCAGACACACAAACAGCTCTGAGCGGACACACAAACAGCTCTGAGCAGACACACAAACAGCTCTGAGCAGACACACAAACAGCTCTGAGCGGACACACAAACAGCTCTGAGCAGACACACAAACAGCTCTGAGCGGACACACAAACAGCTCTGAGCGGACACACAAACAGCTCTGAGCAGACACACAAACAGCTCTGAGCGGACACACAAACAGCTCTGAGCGGACACACAAACAGCTCTGAGCAGACACACAAACAGCTCTGAGCAGACACACAAACAGCTCTGAGCAGACACACAAACAGCTCTGAGCGGACACACAAACAGCTTTGAGCAGACACACAAACAGCTCTGAGCAGACACACAAACAGCTCTGAGCGGACACACAAACAGCTCTGAGCGGACACACAAACAGCTCTGAGCAGACACACAAACAGCTCTGAGCAGACACACAAACAGCTCTGAGCGGACACACAAACAGCTCTGAGCAGACACACAAACAGCTCTGAGCAGACACACAAACAGCTCTGAGCAGACACACAAACAGCTCTGAGCAGACACACAAACAGCTCTGAGCAGACACACAAACAGCTCTGAGCAGACACAAACAGCTCTGAGCGAACACGCAAACAGCTCTGAGCGGACACACAAACAGCTCTGAGCAGACACACAAACAGCTCTGAGCGGACACACAAACAGCTCTGAGCGGACACACAAACAGCTCTGAGCGGACACACAAACAGCTCTGAGCGGACACACAAACAGCTCTGAGCGGACACAAACAGCTCTGAGCGGACACACAAACAGCTCTGAGCGGACACACAAACAGCTCTGAGCAGACACACAAACAGCTCTGAGCAGACACACAAACAGCTCTGAGCGGACACACAAACAGCTCTGAGCAGACACACAAACAGCTCTGAGCGGACACACAAACAGCTCTGAGCAGACACACAAACAGCTCTGAGCAGACACACAAACAGCTCTGAGCGGACACACAAACAGCTCTGAGCAGACACACAAACAGCTCTGAGCGGACACACAAACAGCTCTGAGCGGACACACAAACAGCTCTGAGCAGACACACAAACAGCTCTGAGCGGACACACAAACAGCTCTGAGCGGACACACAAACAGCTCTGAGCAGACACACAAACAGCTCTGAGCAGACACACAAACAGCTCTGAGCAGACACACAAACAGCTCTGAGCGGACACACAAACAGCTTTGAGCAGACACACAAACAGCTCTGAGCAGACACACAAACAGCTCTGAGCGGACACACAAACAGCTCTGAGCGGACACACAAACAGCTCTGAGCAGACACACAAACAGCTCTGAGCAGACACACAAACAGCTCTGAGCGGACACACAAACAGCTCTGAGCAGACACACAAACAGCTCTGAGCAGACACACAAACAGCTCTGAGCGGACACACAAACAGCTCTGAGCAGACACACAAACAGCTCTGAGCAGACACACAAACAGCTCTGAGCGGACACACAAACAGCTCTGAGCAGACACACAAACAGCTCTGAGCGGACACACAAACAGCTCTGAGCGGACACACAAACAGCTCTGAGCAGACACACAAACAGCTCTGAGCGGACACACAAACAGCTCTGAGCGGACACACAAACAGCTCTGAGCGGACACACAAACAGCTCTGAGCAGACACACAAACAGCTCTGAGCAGACACACAAACAGCTCTGAGCGGACACACAAACAGCTCTGAGCAGACACACAAACAGCTCTGAGCGGACACACAAACAGCTTTGAGCAGACACACAAACAGCTCTGAGCAGACACACAAACAGCTCTGAGCAGACACACAAACAGCTCTGAGCAGACACAAACAGCTCTGAGCGAACACGCAAACAGCTCTGAGCGGACACACAAACAGCTCTGAGCGGACACACAAACAGCTCTGAGCAGACACACAAACAGCTCTGAGCAGACACACAAACAGCTCTGAGCAGACACACAAACAGCTCTGAGCGGACACACAAACAGCTCTGAGCAGACACACAAACAGCTCTGAGCGGACACACAAACAGCTCTGAGCGGACACACAAACAGCTCTGAGCAGACACACAAACAGCTCTGAGCAGACACACAAACAGCTCTGAGCGGACACAAAAACAGCTTTGAGCAGACACACAAACAGCTCTGAGCAGACACACAAACAGCTCTGAGCAGACACACAAACAGCTCTGAGCAGACACAAACAGCTCTGAGCGAACACGCAAATAGCTCTGAGCGGACACACAAACAGCTCTGAGCGGACACACAAACAGCTCTGAGCAGACACACAAACAGCTCTGAGCAGACACACAAACAGCTCTGAGCAGACACACAAACAGCTCTGAGCAGACACACAAACAGCTCTGAGCAGACACAAACAGCTCTGAGCGAACACGCAAACAGCTCTGAGCGGACACACAAACAGCTCTGAGCAGACACACAAACAGCTCTGAGCGGACACACAAACAGCTCTGAGCGGACACACAAACAGCTCTGAGCGGACACACAAACAGCTCTGAGCGGACACACAAACAGCTCTGAGCGGACACAAACAGCTCTGAGCGGACACACAAACAGCTCTGAGCGGACACACAAACAGCTCTGAGCGGACACACAAACAGCTCTGAGCAGACACACAAACAGCTCTGAGCAGACACACAAACAGCTCTGAGCGGACACACAAACAGCTCTGAGCAGACACACAAACAGCTCTGAGCGGACACACAAACAGCTCTGAGCAGACACACAAACAGCTCTGAGCAGACACACAAACAGCTCTGAGCGGACACACAAACAGCTCTGAGCAGACACACAAACAGCTCTGAGCGGACACACAAACAGCTCTGAGCGGACACACAAACAGCTCTGAGCAGACACACAAACAGCTCTGAGCGGACACACAAACAGCTCTGAGCGGACACACAAACAGCTCTGAGCAGACACACAAACAGCTCTGAGCAGACACACAAAAAGCTCTGAGCGGACACACAAACAGCTCTGAGCGGACACACAAACAGCTCTGAGCAGACACACAAACAGCTCTGAGCGGACACACAAACAGCTCTGAGCGGACACACAAACAGCTCTGAGCAGACACACAAACAGCTCTGAGCGGACACACAAACAGCTTTGAGCAGACACACAAACAGCTCTGAGCAGACACACAAACAGCTCTGAGCGGACACACAAACAGCTCTGAGCGGACACACAAACAGCTCTGAGCGGACACACAAACAGCTCTGAGCAGACACACAAACAGCTCTGAGCGGACACACAAACAGCTCTGAGCAGACACACAAACAGCTCTGAGCAGACACACAAACAGCTCTGAGCAGACACACAAACAGCTCTGAGCAGACACACAAACAGCTCTGAGCAGACACACAAACAGCTCTGAGCGGACACACAAACAGCTTTGAGCAGACACACAAACAGCTCTGAGCAGACACACAAACAGCTCTGAGCAGACACACAAACAGCTCTGAGCAGACACACAAACAGCTCTGAGCGGACACACAAACAGCTCTGAGCGGACACACAAACAGCTCTGAGCAGACACACAAACAGCTCTGAGCGGACACACAAACAGCTTTGAGCAGACACACAAACAGCTCCGAGCAGACACACAAACAGCTCTGAGCGGACACACAAACAGCTCTGAGCGGACACACAAACAGCTCTGAGCAGACACACAAACAGCTCTGAGCGGACACACAAACAGCTCTGAGCAGACACACAAACAGCTCTGAGCGGACACACAAACAGCTCTGAGCGGACACACAAACAGCTCTGAGCAGACACACAAACAGCTCTGAGCGGACACACAAACAGCTCTGAGCGGACACACAAACAGCTCTGAGCAGACACACAAACAGCTCTGAGCGGACACACAAACAGCTTTTCTTCTGTTTTGGATCAGCAGAAACGTATCCAGGCCTCCACAAGGGACCAAAGACCCGTTTCCACCAGCCCTACTTAGCCCTACTCTAGTCTAGTCTAGTCTAGTCTAGTCTACTTGTGGCAATACTCGCATGTGGAAACCAGATCCAGTCAGACCTCGGAAGTGAAGCAGGGCAGGGTCTGGTTAGTACTGGGATGGGAGACCTCTGGGAAAACCAGTGTCTTTAGGCAGGACACTTCACCCAGCTTCTCTAGAATGAGTCGTGTGTGTGTGTGTGTGTGTATATGTGTGTGTGTGTGTGTGTGTGTCTGTGAATGGTTGGTGGTGGTTAGAGGGGCTGAAGGCACAGACTGTTGTCCTCGAACTCAAAGCTAAACAATAACGGCTGCTTCTCTTGCAGACAGCAGAGAGGTCACCCTGGAGCAGTGCTGTCGAGATGGTCACAGTCGTGGGACAGAGGGAGAAGACTGCTCCTCTCTCCCTCTGATGTCGGACTCTGTCACATGCATGTAAGAAAACACACTGCTCTCTGCTTTATTTCAGCCAATCGGGTGAGACGACTTCAGTAATCTGGTTTCTGTGTGGAATCAAATTATTGGATTTCTTTACCTTACTGCTTTTATCTCCACCACACTGTTTTTGTTCCTGGTTACGATCCATAAATAAACCTGCAGGAAGTGAAATCTGTGAAGTAGCAGCTCTGTGTTTTAAGGCGATCAAACTCTCACACACATTTTATACACTTTTCTAACCACCTGAACTCACGACTGCTGAAGAGAGAGAGACCAGAGATATAACACATGTTGGTTGTAGGTCTGAGCGCTGCTGCAGCTGTAAAAAGCCGTGCATATACAGTAAAATATAGCTGTAGAGGAGAGAGACTAGAAAGAAAACAGAGTGGGAGACTAGAGAGAGAGAGAGACCAAAAGGAGACCAGAGAGAGAGAGAGACCAAAAAGAGACCAGATAGAGAGAACAAAAAGAGAGAGGCCAGAGTGAGAGAGACCAAAAGGAGACCAGAGAGAGAGACCAGAGAGAGAGAACAAAAAGAGAGAGACCAGAAAGAGAGAGATACCAAAACTTTGTAAACTGATTATCCGTCTTCTTTAGTACTAAGTAGTGGGATCAGAGAGAGACACCAGAGAGAGAGAGAGAGCAGACTGAGAGACCAGAAAGAGAGAGACCATAGAGAGACCAAGAATAGAGAGAAACCAAAGAGAGACCAGAGAGAGACCAAGACTACCAGACTATACTGGTTATTGGTCTCCTTGAGTACTAAGTATCGGTATCAACCCTAAACTAAAAAACTAAAACCATATCTCCTCTTATACCATGAGGAGGAGGTGGTCGTTGTGGGACCAGGGAGAGAGGCTCCTCCAAACACCAGGAGACCTCTGAGGAGGACAGACCAGGAGAGGGAGGACGAACCAGGAGAGGGAGGACAGACCAGAAGAGGGAGGACAGACCAGGAGAGGGAGGACAGACCAGAAGAGGGAGGACAGACCAGGAGAGGGAGGACAGACCAGAAGAGGGAGGACAGACCAGGAGAGGGAGGACAGACCAGGAGAGGGAGGACAGACCAGGAGAGAGGGAGGACAGACCAGGCGAGAGGGAGGACAGACCAGGGGAGGGAGGACAGACCAGAAGAGGGAGGACAGACCAGGAGAGGGAGGACAGACCAGGGGAGGGAGGACAGACCAGGAGAGGGAGGACAGACCAGGAGAGGGAGGACAGACCAGGAGAGAGGGAGGACAGACCAGGGGAGGGAGGACAGACCAGGAGAGGGAGGACAGACCAGGAGAGGGAGGACAGACCAGGAGAGAGGGAGGACAGACCAGGAGAGGGAGGACAGACCAGGGGAGGGAGGACAGACCAGGAGAGGGAGGACAGACCAGGGGAGGGAGGACAGACCAGGAGAGGGAGGACAGACCAGGAGAGGGAGGACAGACCAGGAGAGGGAGGACAGACCAGGAGAGGGAGGACAGACCAGGAGAGAGGGAGGACAGACCAGGGGAGGGAGGACAGACCAGGAGAGGGAGGACAGACCAGGAGAGGGAGGACAGACCAGGAGAGAGGGAGGACAGACCAGGAGAGGGAGGACAGACCAGGAGAGGGAGGACAGACCAGAAGAGGGAGGACAGACCAGGAGAGAGGGAGGGACAGACCAGGCGAGAGGGAGGACAGACCAGGGGAGGGAGGACAGACCAGGAGAGGGAGGACAGACCAGGAGAGGGAGGACAGACCAGGAGAGGGAGGACAGACCAGGAGAGAGGGAGGACAGACCAGGAGAGGGAGGACAGACCAGGAGAGGGAGGACAGACCAGGAGAGAGGGAGGACAGACCAGGAGAGAGGGAGGACAGACCAGGGGAGAGGGAGGACAGACCAGGCGAGGGAGGACAGACCAGGAGAGAGGGAGGACAGACCAGGAGAGGGAGGACAGACCAGGAGAGGGAGGACAGACCAGGAGAGGAGGACAGACCAGGAGAGGGAGGACAGACCAGGGGAGGGAGGACAGACCAGGAGAGGGAGGACAGACCAGGAGAGGGAGGACAGACCAGGAGAGAGGGAGGACAGACCAGGAGAGGGAGGACAGACCAGGAGAGGGAGGACAGACCAGGAGAGAGGGAGGACAGACCAGGAGAGAGGGAGGACAGACCAGGGGAGAGGGAGGACAGACCAGGCGAGGGAGGACAGACCAGGAGAGGGAGGACAGACCAGGAGAGGGAGGACAGACCAGGAGAGGGAGGACAGACCAGGAGAGGGAGGACAGACCAGGAGAGGGAGGACAGACCAGGAGAGGGAGGACAGACCAGGAGAGAGGGAGGACAGACCAGGAGAGAGGGAGGACAGACCAGGGGAGAGGGAGGACAGACCAGGCGAGGGAGGACAGACCAGGAGAGAGGGAGGACAGACCAGGAGAGAGGGAGGACAGACCAGGAGAGAGGGAGGACAGACCAGGAGAGGGAGGACAGACCAGGAGAGGGAGGATAGACCAGGAGAGGGAGGACAGACCAGGAGAGGGAGGACAGACCAGGAGAGAGGGAGGACAGACCAGGTGAGAGGGAGGACAGACCAGGCGAGGGAGGACAGACCAGGAGAGGGAGGACAGACCAGGAGAGAGGGAGGACAGACCAGGAGAGAGGGAGGACAGACCAGGAGAGGGAGGCCAGACCAGGAGAGGGAGGACAGACCAGGAGAGGGAGGACAGACCAGGAGAGAGGGAGGACAGACCAGGGGAGAGGGAGGACAGACCAGGCGAGGGAGGACAGACCAGGAGAGGGAGGACAGACCAGGAGAGGGAGGACAGACCAGGAGAGGGAGGACAGACCAGGAGAGGGAGGCCAGACCAGGAGAGGGAGGACAGACCAGGAGAGGGAGGACAGACCAGGAGAGAGGGAGGACAGACCAGGGGAGAGGGAGGACAGACCAGGCGAGGGAGGACAGACCAGGAGAGGGAGGACAGACCAGGAGAGGGAGGACAGACCAGGAGAGGGAGGACAGACCAGGAGAGGGAGGCCAGACCAGGAGAGGGAGGACAGACCAGGAGAGGGAGGACAGACCAGGAGAGGGAGGACAGACCAGGAGAGAGGGAGGACAGACCAGGTGAGAGGGAGGACAGACCAGGCGAGGGAGGACAGACCAGGAGAGGGAGGACAGACCAGGAGAGGGAGGACAGACCAGGAGAGAGGGAGGACAGACCAGGAGAGAGGGAGGACAGACCAGGAGAGAGGGAGGACAGACCAGGAGAGAGGGAGGACAGACCAGGAGAGGGAGGACAGACCAGGAGAGGGAGGACAGACCAGGAGAGGGAGGATAGACCAGGAGAGGGAGGACAGACCAGGAGAGGGAGGACAGACCAGGAGAGAGGGAGGACAGACCAGGTGAGAGGGAGGACAGACCAGGCGAGGGAGGACAGACCAGGAGAGGGAGGACAGACCAGGGGAGGGAGGACAGACCAGGAGAGGGAGGACAGACCAGGAGAGGGAGGACAGACCAGGAGAGAGGGAGGACAGACCAGGAGAGGGAGGACAGACCAGGAGAGGGAGGACAGACCAGGAGAGGGAGAACAGACCAGGAGACGGAGGACAGACCAGGAGAGGGAGGATAGACCAGGTGAGGGAGGACAGACCAGGAGAGGGAGGACAGACCAGGAGAGGGAGGACAGACCAGGAGAGGGAGGACAGACCAGGAGAGGGAGGCCAGACCAGGAGAGGGAGGACAGACCAGGAGAGGGAGGACAGACCAGGAGAGAGGGAGGACAGACCAGGAGAGAGGGAGGACAGACCAGGGGAGAGGGAGGACAGACCAGGCGAGGGAGGACAGACCAGGAGAGAGGGAGGACAGACCAGGAGAGAGGGAGGACAGACCAGGAGAGAGGGAGGACAGACCAGGAGAGAGGGAGGACAGACCAGGAGAGGGAGGACAGACCAGGAGAGGGAGGACAGACCAGGAGAGGGAGGACAGACCAGGAGAGGGAGGACAGACCAGGAGAGAGGGAGGACAGACCAGGTGAGAGGGAGGACAGACCAGGCGAGGGAGGACAGACCAGGAGAGGGAGGACAGACCAGGAGAGGGAGGACAGACCAGGAGAGAGGGAGGACAGACCAGGAGAGGGAGGACAGACCAGGAGAGGGAGGACAGACCAGGAGAGCGAGGACAGACCAGGAGAGAGGGAGGACAGACCAGGAGAGAGGGAGGACAGACCAGGGGAGAGGGAGGACAGACCAGGCGAGGGAAGACAGACCAGGGGAGAGGGAGGACAGACCAGGAGAGAGGGAGGACAGACCAGGAGAGAGGGAGGACAGACCAGGAGAGAGGGAGGACAGACCAGGAGAGAGGGAGGACAGACCAGGAGAGAGGGAGGACAGACCAGGAGAGGGAGGACAGACCAGGAGAGGGAGGACAGACCAGGAGAGGGAGGACAGACCAGGAGAGGGAGGACAGACCAGGAGAGAGGGAGGACAGACCAGGTGAGAGGGAGGACAGACCAGGCGAGGGAGGACAGACCAGGAGAGGGAGGACAGACCAGGAGAGGGAGGACAGACCAGGAGAGAGGGAGGACAGACCAGGGGAGAGGGAGGACAGACCAGGCGAGGGATGACAGACCAGGGGAGAGGGAGGACAGACCAGGAGAGAGGGAGGACAGACCAGGAGAGAGGGAGGACAGACCAGGAGAGAGGGAGGACAGACCAGGAGAGAGGGAGGACAGACCAGGAGAGAGGGAGGACAGACCAGGAGAGGGAGGACAGACCAGGAGAGGGAGGACAGACCAGGAGAGGGAGGACAGACCAGGAGAGGGAGGACAGACCAGGAGAGAGGGAGGACAGACCAGGTGAGAGGGAGGACAGACCAGGCGAGGGAGGACAGACCAGGAGAGGGAGGACAGACCAGGAGAGGGAGGACAGACCAGGAGAGGGAGGACAGACCAGGAGAGGGAACAGCGAAAGTGAGGAGAGAAAAGCAAACAGGAGTCGAGACTGTCCATAAAAGGCTGTGTGGGGAGGTGTGG